TATCTGTATTTATTTACTTTTTGGGTATTCAATTGTTTTATGGGGTACATTTCATGCTGCTTCGTAATTTATTTGTTCATTCGTTAGTTTCTTTTTTCGTTTTATCTTTTGCAAATTCTTTTCCTTTTAATGTTTTGTCTTTATATATATTTTTCAATTTTACTTTAAAAAGAATACGAAAACTCTGAACTTTTTAATTTTTTACCTGATTTATTGCTTCTATTTAATGATTATAGACATTACTTAACTAACAATTATAAATAATAAAAAACTCTGCAAAAACGATATTCATTTCATGTCATGTTCTCCAAGATAATTATTTTTCTGATAAATTAAATAAACATATGGATGTGATGATACTTATGAGGATAAGTTTTGGGAAATGTTCCCTCTCCTATTTCTTTTATCCACGTATTGATTAGATTACACATGAATCTGTTTGATCAATGCTTCCTTCCTCATCCTTCTTTTCATGTTGTTTCCGAGATTATCATAATTTTGTTCAAATGAACTTGTTTGAGTAAAATTTACTCCATGCATTTTAAAACTGAATTTTTTTTACAAACAACTTTACAATTTTAATTTAAATATATTTTATCATATTAAATTAATACATGTATAAAATTGTATTGGTGAAGTTAGGTTACTTACATAGATAGTATCAGCATAGAAACACAGTCCAAATTAAAAATAGAGTAAAAAAAGAATAACATCTAACAAACGTTAGAGGTTGGACATAATTCATGAGACCCTTTGTGAATAGGATCGAATCTATTTTTTTTTTCTCGTTTCCCCACAAAATTACTATGCCCTACTGTTAGGTAAAATAAAAAAGTAAAAAAGGAACCACGTAAAGAAACTCATACTCGTGTCTCCAACTAGTGCTCCATCTTTTTATGCCTTTTCACTTTTTGTTTATTTCTCATACACAAAGTGAAAGACAGAACCGTGACCAACCAATCATCGACATACCATTTTCATTGCCATCTGGTTGCTTGGTTTACACATGGCCCTTTTTTATTAACCAGACGGCTTAATAAAAATTTCCTATCCATCATGAGAACCTCTCATACGTGACCACATAACCTTAGGTTGGATATTCTATCATATTACTTCTTTAAGTTTCATGATTAGTGATAATTTTGAGTAATCAAAGGATATATATAAAAATAAACGTATTCACAACCGCCCAAGAAAGTTATTTAAGTGTCTCAATTAGAAAAAGATACTTTAAGCATTAATTTAATGAAAAAGTTTGGGACAATGACTGGGATGTCAGCCAACCAGACTCACACAAGACCAAATAAAAAATTGCACTTGGGACTATTAAAACCAATAATATCAAATAAAAAAGCACTAGGGACAGGAAAAGAATAAAACACAGAACCACAATTTAAAAAATAATAGAGGCATTTGTTTTTTTTGTTTTGATTATCTTTAATTCGATTTTAAAAAGAATAAAAAAAACATTTCTTCCTTTTTGTTCGATTCTATAAAGACGTCATAAACTAAGAACAAAATATAAATTGAGAACAAAAAGTGGTGCATTAACATATGAAACCTATTCTTTTTGTTTTCCAATATACAATCCTAAGCTTTGAATTCTTCACTTCCAGGTTAGGTTCATAGGTGCATCATGCACGTACTTGATTGCAGGCAGAACAATGCACACAAATTAACAAACGGAGTACGAAGAATAGTTATTACTGTGAGGATTAAAGTATACAAATGTTCTTAAACAGATGAGATGCCCCAGACACTTACGATTCGAAACTCCGAGAGAAAATTATATATTTTTAACAATGGAAGACAATGAGTATGTTAAGTCCACTGTTAGGATAATAATATATATTTATAGGTATCAAAACATTCCCATATAAATATTAGGGTAAGTTTCAGAATATGATAGCTGAAATGCTTTCAAAATCTCTTGTTAAAATTGTAGAATTACACACATAAAGATCAAAGACAAGAGCTCTTAAATGCTTCTTTACATAGTTTCAACTGTTGGCTGGCACCTCGATCTTAACAGAAAAGTGACGTACACTTTAAGGTAGGAACAATAAAAAATAAAATAAAATTCAAACTTTAATTGTTTTAGCCATTCGATACACTTTATTTTTAAGAATGAGATTTAAAAATTATATCAATAACATAATTTCCTTGATTTCTCTGTTCTCACTCTAAATTATTTTATAATCTATAGAATAACGCAATATAATGTGTTCATCATTTTTAAACTCTTTTTAGCCCAAAATAAAAGCAAATTATATAAATTAAAATTAGGATAAATTACAGTAATATTTATTAAGGGATTATTGAATTATATTTTTGAATTATAAAAATTACATTATTATAGAAATTAGGATAAACGGGCCTTTTTTAGGAACATTTTTTCCTTTCTTTTTTAAATTTCTAACGTAACGATTTAATTTTTAATATCTTACTAATGATTTGATTTAAAACATGAAATACTGTTTTGAATATTCATCATATAAATTTTATAATTTCACCTAAAATATTTATTTCGTTTTTTAATTTTTAAAATTAATAGAAATAGTTTAAAAATTATTGTCAATAATACAAAAAATAATCAAAAGAAAAATATTATTCCTTAAAGGTTCATTTGAGTTAAAATAAATTAATACATGTTAATTACTTAGGAAAGGTCGAGGAGCATAATTGTTTAGAATAAAAAAATCAATTTAAACATATAATAAGAAAATTGAATATAGTTTAACCGTAAATTTAGGAAATGGAAAAAAGGAAAATCATTGTACGTAGCTTAATTTGGGAATTTCAGATATAGTGATGAACTAATTCTGTCTCGTTTTGAATTTTTAACAGCAACATTTTTAGTAAAGGGGGGAAAATGCAGGCAACTTGTCGAGTTTGGTTGCTTTCTAGACTCTTCCTTTTGTCCAAATCAAATCCCTACAAAATTACAAAATCATAGACTTGACATTTCTTTCTAATATGATTGCAGAAAAAGCTCAACTATGTTCTATATTAATGACCTGTTAATTATGTATTTTTTATTTTAATGTCTGATCATAGATCATATTTATCATATAATTAAAAAGTATTAATTATCTTAAAATCCACGTATAAAGTAGTTTCTAATTGATTGAATGAAGGAAAATCTTAGTGTATTTTATTTTGTGAGTGCTTATTTTTCTGTGTCCATGGAGTGGTCCTTGATTGTTACGCTTCAAGGTGATGATGGTCTTGATCTATCTATACAAACACAGGCCAACTTAACTTTCAAGTTGACCAAAGAGGCATATGTAATTAGAAAAGTTTTCTGCTTTCTTTTTCAGCTAAAATGTGAGCATCCAAATGATGTGGACTAAAATGTTCTTGCTTGAAATAAATTAGAACACATCAGTGTCAAGCTGGCTAGTTAATTAATATAATCAGATAATTAGTACATATAGATCATGACTTCAGTAAAAAGGGAATGCACAATCAGAGAAATTTTAAATATTCGTGATAATTATTTTATTAAAAGATAAATTTTAGTATTTTAATATTCTTTTTAAATTAAAATTAGAGTTTATTTCCTTTAATATTAAATGATTATCTTTATTTTATATATATATATATATATATTTAAATAAAATTTTAGTTTTAATTAACAGTAACACTAAATATACCAAAAAAATTATACCTGAATTTTTTCCTTTACCAAATCTGATTTATGATTTCAACTATGAAATGATTATTTAGAACCATTCAATTTATAGAATCTTGCATATAAACAAATGATATATAGCTGTAAAAATAATACTAAGGATTTCGTCGAATTGAGTAAGATAATATTTCATATTTAACAAATAATAAATTTACGTGTTTTTTATCTTTAGTTTGATAACTTTTTTTCTTTGAACGTAAGTATCATTCTCTCTTTTAATTTTTTTTTGGTTAAATAATTATATCTATACTACATATGTAAATAAAATAATAATAATTCTCAACCTCTTAAACTTTGTCCCTTTCACATGCATAAACATTCTCAATTTTAATTAATTATTAAATTGCATCTCTTTTATAACTAAATATGCTGAACTTAAATGTTGATAAAGATCCCAGTGGTGTGCTATTTATTTATGACAAACAACCCTTGCCTTTTGAAATATCTATATTTTGTATATCAATATTAAATGAAAGTGATCCCATGAGATGGATTACAATCAATGACAGGGAAAGGCACCAACATTAACATGTAATATAACAACAGAGAAATAAATAAAGACCATAAAATACTCAAGCCAAATATATTTTACATTTCAGAAATAAAAAACCCATTTTTTAAAAAATTGTCATTTAAAATAAATATTCATTAACTCTTATTTTTCTCATAAAAGAGCTTAGATTCGATTACATGCACCGAAACTTCGGTTAATAAAAATAAGCTAAATGTTTTCATTCTCTAAATCTCAACCAGTATCGATGATTATTATTTAGAGTTTATTTAATTTAAAGTTAGATAAAATTATCTCAAATATAGTTAATTTAAAATTATTAAATATAATTATTACGTATGCATAAATTATTTGTATTCATAAATTTTGCATTAAAACACTTAATACAGTTAGAAAATTTGAATATAGAAATTAACCAAATACACAACGAAAATACTTCATCATAATTAGCAATGACTCAGTAAATAGATTTTACAATAAATTGTTAAGACTTAAGTATTTTTATATTCTTATATTTCGTTGAATTTTTTATTTTAATCTTTTTAAATATTTTTTTAATAAATTTTTGTTTTTAATTTCTAATGTTGACACAGTCAAATAAAAAACTGACATGTAATAATATCTCAATGAATTATATTAGTATTAAAAATAAAAAATAAAAAATTTGTTTGAAGAAATTTAAAAAAATTAATAAAATATAAAGAATAAAAAAAGATTTAAACTAATTATTAAATTGAAATGTCCCAAAGAAATGACTAGCATTTAACTGGACATTACTAGCATTACTTGGGTTGGGTGAGGAAACAGAATACAGAAAAGAGTTATTTTTTACATAATGATTTGCCGCGACGGTCATCAAATCATGTCCAATGAGTATTATTCAAGTTCTCCACAAACAGCGTCTATCACTCATCAAAACACAAAGAAACCTTAGTAGAATGGCAGTAATGTAATTTCATAGCCATGACTCTGACTTAAGCATGATGGAAAGTCGCACTAAGGTTGGTTCATGGATCATGCCCACTACTCTCTCTTCTCTTCCCTTTGCTCTACTCTTCACTCCTTTGGACTCATAAGACTCACCAAACAAAACAAAACAAAACCAAACAAAACACATCTCTCTCTCTCCCGACACTGTTTCAGAACCCGACAAAAGCAACCTCTGCCTCCTCGCTTCTCAGTCTCTCTTCTCAGTGGCTCTCAATGTAATATACCCCCAAAAGCTTGTCCTCTTTCTCAAACCTCTCACTTCAACACTTGCATTTATTTTTCTCACAAATGAAAAGCCACAGGAGAGAATGATATCAAACTTCCACATCAAACCCCGTTCAAGTCGCACACCACCTCTCTTCCACTATCAGAATCACCACCTTCCACAACCCCATCAATTCAAATGGAGAAAAACATCGCTCTCTACAAACTAGAAGCTCGTGGCATCGTTTAGAAACTCTGTCAAAAAGGGGTTTTAGCTCTCTCTCCAACCCTTCTTCCTACCTTACTTCCATTTTCTCTCTCTCTACAACTTCCTCCGCCGGAGTATGGCATGCCGGAAACTGATCGCCGGGAACTTGGATCCCCAGACAAAAAGAAGTGGAGGGTTGAGGACGAAACAGGCGGGAAGAGGATCGTGCCGTGGTAGTTAGGACTTGGAATTCAAACTCGCCGGAAAATGCATGCTTTCTGGCTTTGATTCTTACCCTTTTGTTTTTTCTGTTCCTGCTGCATGCTATTGTTGTTGTTCTATTCTTCCATTAGGTTCGAGAAAAAGTAAGAAAACTCTCCCGTGGTTTTGAGAATCCCCATCTTTGAAAAAAAGAAAGAAAGAAAAAGATGGGATTTTTGTTGAAAGAAGCTTTGAAGACTCTGTGCGGTCGGAATCAGTGGTCTTATGCCGTGTTTTGGAAGATCGGTTGCCACAATTCCAAGTAAGATTCGTGCAATAATTTCAAAAGTAAAATGCTTCGTTTTGTTTTGTTGTTGTTGTTGTTTTTTTTTTTTATTGCAGCTTTTGCTTTCTACATTCACCATGCTCTGTTTTCGGTTCTGGGAAAAAGGCTAATATAATGTTTTTTCTTATTTCATCCTCTTTGTGTTGTGTGTTGCTGTTCCTTGCATGTACCCTGTACTTTCTTCGTGATTTTTTATGAACTTGACGGAGTGAAAAATTGTGAGAAAATTGTGGTTTTCCGAATCAGCTTTTTTAAATATATATGGTTATACGTTTGCTTTTCATGTTTGTACAGTTGTACTTTCTCAGGTATACGAAATCCGTTTTCATATTAGATTCTGTTTTGGGGTTGATATGGTTGACATGTTATGGTCTTATTTATTATTGTTCACTGCTTCCTTGTATTTGATTCGTATTCGTATTCTGCCATATACCCTTTACTACACAGTATTTTGGAACCTTGTGTTTTGATTGCTTCTGTTTTGTCTTCAAGAATCTTAGTTTTTATATTTTATATATATTTAATAAAGAAGTTTATTTGCCATTGGTTTGCCAGGTAGACTACGTATTGGATTGATTGTCTGTGATTCTGTAACGAATTTGCTAATTCAGAATTTGTCTTTCTCGTTTGATTCTGTTTGGCCTTATTGTTCTATTTATAAAAAGCTGCACTTCTTTTTTTCATCAGCTAATAAGCGGTTAATCTGCTGATCCATCTTTGTCATGCTAACAACTTATGATGTGTCACTGCATACTGGATTACAGCCAGATATGGATTAAAAAAATATCAGCTTTATTTTCTTGTTTTGGTCCTCTCAAACCTTTTTCTATGGGATTGAAATATTTTTGTTGCTTGTCCATTGAACTCAGCAACCAAAATGGAGTTAATGTTAAGCTTTTGACTTTATACTCTTTGTTGTTAAAATATCTTCGTTTGAGTTAGTTAAGTATGATTTGACCTGACAGGCTATTAATCTGGGAAGAATGCTACTATGAACCCTTGCCGTGCTCTATCCCATCACGCATTCTTGGGAGGTCTGATTTGCCTCACCTGAATGGGGAAGGATGCTGGTTTTCTTCGGAGTCTCAGTCATCTCATCTAGGGATTCAAGAGGAGGACAGAGTCAGTTCTCTGATTAACAAAATGACAGTAAATAATTCAGTCATTGTTGCAGGTGAAGGGTAGGTGCTTTCTGTTTTTAATCTATTTGCAGTTAATTCAGGTTTCTAACAAAAAATTGAAGTGCTTTGTTGTTGTTCCCACGTTACTCAAGTTCTGTTTTTTGCTGTTACTCAGTATAATTGGACGGGCTGCATTTACAGGCAACCATCAGTGGATTCTTTTGAACAATTTCACTAAAGATGTATATCCACAAGAGGTATGAAGTTTATTATCCGCTTCTAGTGACTGTATATTATGAGTGTTGTAGTTTATCATTAAAGTTTGGTGCTAAGGAAATATTTTGAAAACTTTTGCCCTGTATATTCTTGATAAAGTTAATTGGTGAGTTTTTGACTCTAATTGTTGTCTCAAATTCTCAATGAATGTGTACAAATTTATAAAACTGAATGATGTTCACCTCTTTTACAAGGTAGAGTAAGTATATATGAGAAATGCTTGCAACACACTTTTTCTAACATACTCCTGGTTTTTAGCTAAAATTTATTAAAAATGACATATGCATGTGGGTTCCACTCTTAATTTAATGTTTCTCACTTCTAATTCAAGGATTCTTATGCATACTTTTGTGGTTTTCAATAAATTTTAATCAATAATTGAGAGTGTGTTGTTAGTACTCCTCAATATATATATATACACACACACACACACACACACACTTTTCCAAGTTTAAAGACTTGGGAGTATATATGTTTGTGAACTTCTTTTTGATTTCTTATATTGGTGTGCTCGTTCTAGGTATATGCTGAGGTGCATCACCAATTTTCATCTGGAATTCAGGTTTGTGATTTTCATTGTGCTTAATGTTTTGTTATAGAATTTTTTATTGCAGTTTCATGATACTTTATGGTATTGTTTTCACAGACAGTAGCAGTTATACCTGTGCTTCCTCATGGGGTTGTTCAACTTGGTTCTTTCTTGCCTGTAAGTCCTGTTCTTTTGTTCTGTAGTTCTGGAGAGATGTAACATAATACCTCCAATGATTTCATGCTAAAGCAATGGATTATGGTCAGTGGTCAAACTTTTCTCACCTTGTAATAAATGGGTCAAGAGTGAATGCCCCAGGTTAACTTAAGCACTTAAAATTACGTATGATATGAGTATCACAATAGTGTGATCCGTTGCATAAACTTAGGATATCCAGCCTTGAAACTTGAGACATTGGTGAGTGAGCTTTTTTCAATCATGTAGATCCCTGTTGTCTTGTAATTCACTTTCTTGATCTAAATGCTGTCTGACCTGAGTGATATCTTTTCAAGATTCCTTGATGACAATTTGGGACAGTAATTACTAATTAGTGAATAACTTGGAACATCAGCAGTTCAAAGCCTATTCTGGTTTAGCTGTCTGTTTTAGAGTTTCTTGGTTTCCTGAATGTTCATCTTATGGAGCTTTGCAAGTTAATATTAGCTTTCTCTTGGCTTGAGCATTCTTGTAAATGTGCCATTATTCAAGACGCTTGCTGTATGCTGTCCTGTTCCAGTGTTCCTCAACTAATGCAGCCAATACTAATGTTACAGATAATGGAGAATATGGGATTTGTGAATGATGTGAAAAGCTTGATCCTGCATTTGGGATGTATCCCTGGTGCCCTGCTATCTGAAGACTATTCAGCAAAAACTGCCACTGCTGGTGTGCATGTGTCTGTTGATCCACCAGTCATTTCCTCAAACTGCACTCCCTTGGTAGCAAATGGCTTCAATCAGCAGAGTAATTTATCTAATGCTTCAAGGCCTTTTGTTCAAACACCATGTCCTCTAAAGGAAGAGATAAATACTTGCCAGGGTTCTGTATTGACACCCCAAAACCATAGCTTGAGCCGTATATCCAATAATGTTTGCCAACCAAAAGTTATTCAAATGAGTAACACGAGGTTTTCTGGCCAACAAGAGAATAGAGTCGCAGAGGCAAAAGTTATACCCTCAAATCATGATTCATGCCTACGACAGTGTTCTGTTCCTTATAATGCTAGATCTGTATTTAGTAACTTACCTGGTTCTGGGTCTTTTGGCCAATCTGGTCTAAGTGAGCATAGTCTAAAATATATGGAACAACAAATCACGGCAGCAATGGGGAATCGAGATAATGTTAATCCTTGTATAAATGTGTCAAGTACCTCAGACATGTCTCAACCAAAAACAGGTGGAGGCCATATAGTTGGCCACAATCTGAATTCTGTCGGTATTTCTTTACTTGGAGGAATCCCAATATATGATGGGTTGAGTACTCTTTTGAGGACAAATATGATTGATTCTTCTGGTTCAAAGTCTTCCAAAGTATACATAGCTGATTCATCTAGAGTAAAAGAAGTTGGGATTGGACTTCAAATTGATGATTCAACTAATGCAAGGGGTTATTCTCCAGTTAATTTGACTAGTCAGTCAGGTGTCTTTTCCATGCCTGTAGAAGGTTCTGATAGGAAGATTCTCCCTGTAGGTTTAAAGTGTGCTTCAACAGATCAAAAGATAGATTATGATTCGCTTCAGCCCCCTAGCATTCCCACATTTCATGTTGAGGAGCATGCACCTATTAGTGCTCAAATCCCTGGTTTTGCCCACGATTGCCTTCATAAAGATGGTAGTAATCAATCTGTGATGGCAATGAATCCTAAACACAAACTAGCTTGTGCTGGACCTCCATTAGGTGATGACCTGTTTGATGTGTTAGGGGTGGATTTTAAAAACAAACTGCTGAATGGAAATTGGAATAAACTGTTTGCTCATGAATCAGATGCAAATGCAGAAAATATGGATAAAAAGGTCGCACCTACAAATATGCATGGTACACATCCTGATGTTTATTCAGTTAAAGAAGCAATATCAGACAGCGGTGTCTTTTCTGAGATGGGAACAGACCACCTCTTGGATGCTGTGGTCTCAAAGGCCAAATCTGTTGTGAAACAGGATTCTGATGACATGTCTTGCAGGACAACATTGACTAGGAATAGTACCGCCTCTGTTCCCTCCCTTGCGTGCAAGCAGTTTAAGTCTGGTCATTACCCAGGGGGATTGTTTGATTTTCCTAAGAATGGTGGTAAAATGGGTGCCACAGAAACTAGTTTTCTTAGGTCCGGATGTAGCAAGGATGATACTGGAAACAGTTCTCAAACTACTACTGTTTATGGGTCTCAACTTAGTTCGTGGGTTGAAAATAGTGGCAATGTGAAGCGTGAAAGTAGTGTTTCAACTGGATACTCAAAGCGACCAGATGAAGCTTGCAAATCAAATCGTAAAAGGCTTAAACCAGGAGAGAATCCCAGGCCTCGACCTAAAGATCGCCAAATGATTCAAGATCGTGTGAAAGAGTTACGCGAAATTGTGCCAAATGGAGCAAAAGTATTTCCTCTCATATCTTATCCCAGAATTTATGTTTTAAAACTTAAATATCATATTCAGGTACTGATTTTTTTTTTCTCATCTCCTTTTTTGATTTATCAGTGTAGCATAGATGCACTTTTGGAACGGACCATTAAACATATGCTTTTCTTGCAAAGTGTGACAAAGCATGCTGACAAGTTGAAACAAACAGGAGAGTCTAAGGTATGGAACAGTATTCACTCATGTGCTTTGTATCTTAGGCAGTTGATCTAGTTATGATATGGTAACGTTTTATTTTAAAGGGAAACAACAAACAGATAAAAAAATGAATTTGTTAGCATTTTGAGAGGTTTTCTTGTCTTTTTATATGGTAAGCTCAAACCACATACCAACTAAAGCCCTTTATACAAATAAAATTTGGTTTGCATCATTCTCCTCTGAGGGACTATAAAGAAGAATGTGTAGCTGATACCTTTTTATTTGAGGGATTATTAATTATGAAATAACTGTGATCTTTTCTTCCTTGAATATGCAGATTATTAATAAGGATGGTGGGATGCTTTTGAAAGACAACTTTGAGGGAGGGGCTACATGGGCATATGAAGTTGGTTCACAATCAATGGTTTGTCCTATTATAGTCGAAGATCTGAATTCTCCTCGTCAAATGCTAGTGGAGGTACTGAGGATGCTTTATAAATTTATAAAATTCTTTTTGGTCCTAACATGTTTCATTATCACCTCTATAATCTGTTTACTTGGTTATTCTTACAGATGCTATGTGAAGAACGCGGTTTATTTCTGGAAATAGCTGATTTAATCAGAGGGTTAGGTTTAACCATCTTGAAGGGGGTAATGGAAGCTCACAATGACAAAATATGGGCACGTTTTGCTGTTGAGGTAATACTCTAGAAAGGGACATGTCTGACTACCTGAACTTGTCTGTGCATTGATTAGATAATATGTCTAGCAGGCATTCAGTATGTAGGAATTTTTAGACTGATATTGGAATGTAGGATACTGAAAATAATTGATCTCAACATTCTTGATATGCAGCAAAAGGCATTGCATGCTTTCCTGTGTGTTGATTTTGGTAGCAAAGATCATCATAAGGATTAAGTAATCCAATGTACTTAATTTGCAGGCAAACCGGGATGTAACAAGGATGGAAATATTTATGTCACTTGTTCGTCTTTTGGAGCAAACGGTGAAGGGGAATGCATCTTCATCCAATGCAATTGATAACATGATGGTTTATCACTCTCTCCCACAGGCTACACAGATACCAGCAACTGGAAAGTCTAGTAGTCTGCAATGAACGACATTTTACATGGTTTCTTAGTATGGATGTGTTGAGAGCAAGTAAGGTAAAAATGCTTTGCTTGCCATGACTGACATCAAATCCAATCTTAGATTTTGGGTGGTCTTAACTTTGTCTAACTGTTATATGTCTCATATCTGAGCTCATTTTGAAGGGGAATGTTAGGTACTAGGTAGTGGTAGTGAAGAGCATCTCAAGATTAATATGTATTCTTATATTGTATTTGAGTTTCCTACATTGCTAGCCAACATAATGTATCATGTGTTGGCATTATTTACTGAACACTTAGTTGACTTGTATTCATTTTTTTTATTATGTGGGGTTAATACCGAAGCAGTTGGTCTTGTGATTCAGATCAGATGTATAGATTTTGTAGGATATGGAAAGAGAGGTTTCATGTGCTTATTAGCTTGTTTTGTACTTTTTCTTGTTTTGCCCTTTTACTCCTGGTTTTTTTTATTGGGGCATGAATTTGGTAATGTTATGACTAATACCGTGTTATTATAAATATGTAAGTTCTACTTGTGGTTTGTACAACATTGTAATCAGTGCTAAATGCAGCAGTTTGAGCCATTTGATTTGTGATCTAATATTCTAGTGTGATGGAGTGAAACCTTTACTCTCCATACTACATGAGCATATAATTCTTCATACCATGATCTAATCATAAAACTTACCTTCCACATTGCTGCCCTTCAATTCTAAGAGCATTTTGCCACCTGCCAAATATTTCAATGTTGTGCAGGTTGTGCATGTGGAATTGATTTTATCTATTTTCACTGTCTCATTCTTCAGAAATCACAAAGTTCAAATTTGATCTATTTTGAAATTATTACAATTCTAGCACATGCCATGTTGAATTTCTCTAAAATTCTCTACCTTTTAGATAATCCTAATAATTCTCTAAAATTTTTAACTCCTGCCACATAGGATGCATCTTTCATATCTAATTTCAAGCTTTTGAAAGATGTTCTGACTGCTTTTCTAATGTGTGGAAGAACATTTAATAAAAATTTATATATACAGTTTCTATTGAATATTATATAATTTAATGTATTAATAATATTAAATGTTATTAATTTTAAATAAAATATTTTTATTTATGATTTTATAGTATTTGTCTTTTGGCATTAATTAGAAATATAGGCTTACTCTCCTTAACCTCCTAGTATGTACATCTAATGGAAAGCCTTTAAGTTGCTTTATATAAACTTTTTAATTCAAGATCACAACTAAAAAAATTATGTTTACATTCATTTTGGTGCAACTATGAGCATTGAGAAAGGAAAAATTGTTTTTTTTTAAACAATCCTATCCTTCTAAGTATTTCTTTAGTAATAAGTCAGGTTTTATATTGTTTTAATGTTCCTATAAAGTTACACTTACATTTGTTCTTAAAGACTCATTTATTCTTGCAATTAAAAAAACATTTATTTAATCATTTGCTTAATTCGGCCACCTACGATTTAGTGTCACAAACCTTTTAATATAACTCCACTCTCAGCAAAAAAGAAAAACGTTGTTACAGTTTCTTACTTATCCTTTAATAATTTTTTTATTTTATAAAATAAATATTAAATAAAAATTATATTTACCATCTTAAAATATAAAATACATTCAATAAATTTTTGGTTCAGCAATTAGATGAAATAAGAAAATTTAAAATTATTAATAAATATTAAAAATAAGAGACTGTTGTAGCAATTTTGTCATTTTTTTAATGCTCTTATTATTAATTTCAATCTTGAAGATTGAATTTAAACATCTGTAAATAATATTTTTTTATTAAAAATATAATATTTATTATACTTTTATATTCTTAAAATAATAAATATTTTGAATACCAAGTTATTACTTTTAATTACTTAACTTTTTACCCTTAACATTTTGCCACCCCGCCTCCCTTTTTTTATCATTAAAGATAACTGCTATGCACATCTCTCTGTTGCTTCTTCTTTAATGTGCTGCCATTTGTTTTTGTCGGCCAATAATTAGCGTTTCAAACTTGGCAGTTGTTTCTGGTTCGCCACTTGAATCACCTGATGTATGTGAGTCCAAGCATCTTATTTTTCCTTACCATTTTTTCAGGACTTAACCAATCCTTTCTATATCATCCAACCATGCCTTTTTTGTTATACTATGTAAGTTCAATACATTTCTTTTAGGTCTATTGTTTTTTGTATGCCCTATAAAAACTTTAAAGCACAACTGCGTTGAACAAGAACAAAATAATTAAATAAATCAACACATAAAAGGTGGTGTTTTGATCAAATAAAGCAAATGATACCTATAGAGTAAATTATTAAAAACAATATAAAAGTGCCTTGATTCAATTGAAAAAATGTATTTATGCAATAGTTTTTGTACAACTTCGATCTTATACACCAAAGTAAAAGAAAACAAATGAAAAACTATGAGATAAAATAATCGATATAATAATGAAAAAAAATATTATTATATAAAGTATTATAAGTTTAATTAAATCTATCAAACTTCAGAAATTTATAAATGACTGGCATAAGTGAGTTGGCATGCTAGTGCATGCCTTTATCAAAGTTTACACCAAACAGTCAGTGGGTTGATCAAAGGCATGACACCCCATTATTATTTTATTTTTTCATATATACTGCAGACACCGCATTAGTTTTTGGAGAGCTTTGTTATATCTTTTTAATGATATTTTTACTGTTTAATAAAGTAAATATCAAATAAAAAGTACTTATATTTATTATTTAATAATTAATAAAATTTATAAACACAAAAGTAAAAGAATGTAAAATGATAGTGTTTTATGTTTTAAAATTGATGGTGGCTGAACCTAATTCTCTGAGCCGCTAATGACAGGCACTACTAACAGGAAAAGAAGATACTGCAAGTGGTGATGCTGATGCTCTATTAAATCCAGGTGCCGAAGAAGCAACTTTTTACATTGAAATGTGGCCACCAATCCTCCTTCAGAGCATGGCATTGAGTTTTGGCTGAAAGAGTTAAATGAACATTTTTAAAAAATAGAGAAACTGAATATGAGTAATTAAAATTAGGAGACTAAAATTGTACATACATTAAATTAGGAACTAAAAGTACAATTAAACTTAAATTTTTAAAAAATAATATGCAATATATTGTTATTTTTCACAAAAAAAAAAACTGATTTCTATCTAATTTTGATATTAATAACTTTTAGTTAGGTGAAAAGTAATAGAAAATGCACACATTCAATCATAGATAATGAGTAAAATAATGAAATAATCTTAATATTCATTATTTAAATAATTTTATGAACAAAGTTTACTTCATCGATGACCGACCTTTAAATAATAAAAAAGACAAAAACAAATAAAGTAAAATGCACTCCATTATACTACATTATCAGAATATAACCTAATATAGTTAAGTTTCATTATTCCTTTTCATCAATAAGGTTTTCTTCTTTTATTTTAATCGATCCAAATAATTAAACTTAGAATCATACCATTATATTACACTACTTAAAAGGCAACTGATTAAAAAAAAAAGTGTATATTTACTTCAAACCCGGTGGCTCACCGTTTGTATGACGCCGGCGGCTTGCCGTTTGTATAGCACTACTAGAAAGCCAAAGCACTTGTAGGATACCAAAGTGCTCTTCTGGGTATTCACTTTTAGTACGAAGAATGTTTCGTGGAACCTAACAAATAACAATATAGCCTCCTTCAAAAATCCAAACCCTCTACGTCTCCATTAATGGCAATGTTAAGTGCATTAGTTCTAACAATTAAAGTTGGCGCAAGAAACAGTAGAACATCCAAGTGGACTGGGCACGCCCCTATTAAAAAAATTATTTATATATCATATGTGGTTTACACTAGTCACAAAAAGTCAACCTTTGTTAGAATCATCATATATATTGTGATTCCCAGGTTGTGTGCTACACTTTATTATAAATATGATATGGAGGATGAGCTTTTGTAGGGCTATATGTGGTTCCTTCCATACCCTTTAAAATTGAGAGAGTAGTGGATTCAAACACTTAGCAAATTTTTAAAAGGGGTTGCACAATTTTCATTGAAATGGCTTCTGAAGCAAATAAAATCAATGATGGCATAGTTGCTGCCAGTGTCACCAAGGGTTGGCAAGGGTTGATGGCCTTGACTAGTGAATTTAATGCAAAGGTATTGAATGTGATGTCACAACTAAAGAAACTAGGAAAAGAAGATCCTAGAAGGGTCGTTCATGCTTTGAAAGTAGCACTTGCTATCTCCTTAGTTTCCACATTTTACTATATAAAGCCTCTTTACAATGGCTTTGGTTCATCTGCAATGTGGGCTGTTTTCACTGTCATTGTTGTATCCGAATTCTCTGTAGGCAAGTTTTTTTTTGTTAATATTTTTTTTTATCTAATTTTTCAACACAAATTTAGCATTATGCAAGTATATAGAAAGTGAACTTGATTGATTAATGGTTCATCAACAATTTGAATGCGTGACCCATGCAGGAGCAACGCTTGGAAAAGGTTTGAATAGAGGTTTAGCAACATTTTTGGCTGGAGCTCTGGGGCTTGGATTTTATTACATGGTGCATTCAATTTCAGCGGGAAATATAGTAGCACCCATACTTCTTGGAACCTTAATTTTTCTAACAAGTAATGTTTACGTGTAAAATAAAATTTCGCTATTAAGAAGTAGCTAGCTAATTAAAAAGCTAAACAACACTAAAATTTGAATGATGAATTGCAGCTGCAGGAGTCACGTATATTCGATTTTTTCCTCAAATGAAGGCGAGATATGATTACGGGTTGCTGGTGTTTATTTTGACATTCTGTATGGTGTCTGTGTCAAGCTACAGAGACCGTGAGATCCTAGACATTGCACTGAAAAGGGTAACCACAATCCTCTCAGGTGGTTTAATTTCCATTTTAGTCAGCATTTTCGTGTACCCTATATGGGCCGGTGGTGATCTTCACAATCTACAATCACAAAATATTGAAAAACTTGGGAACTTTTTGGAAGGTGCATATCTAATAATTTCTTAAATTTCGTGTACTTTAGTAGCATTCTTTTGGACTTTGGAGTTATGTATATGCAATAGCTCCAATATTTTATAATTGTCGAAATTGACATGTATAGCTAATTGCAGATTTTGGAGAGGAATATTTCGGAGGTGGAGAATCAAATAAATCATTTATGCAAGGGTATAAAAGTGTTCTTAATTCAAAACAAGTTGAAGAAAACTTGGTGAGGAAAAGAAACCAAAATTATGTTCTAGACTCCCCTGTCACATTGTCATGCTCATTAATAATCATTCATTCATTTATATTAAATATTTTGCAGGCTAATTTTGCAAGGTGGGAACCCTGCCATGGTAGTTTTAGATTTCGTCATCCTTGGCAACAATATCTAAAGATTGGAAACCTCTCAAGGCAATGTGCCTATCGTATTGATGCCCTATGTGGCTTTCTTAACTCTACTAAGGTACTTGTTCATTTTATTGTGTGACAAGTATTATATTTTTTTCAATTTTTTTAACGTGTTTATTGTTAAATGTTAAGAATTCTTTTTAACGTGTGTTTATTGTGTGACAAGTATTAAAAATTGTAGTATTAAATGTTATTAATGTATTCAATTTTGTGATATTTTATTATATTTTAAAAAATTATCATACATTAGTTTTTATTACGTGCCTACACGTTAGAAAAATTGTATTTTTTTTTTTCAAAAATGACTTAATTTTATTATGTTTAATCTGTAGACACCATTAGAAATCAGAAGCAAAATAGAAGAGCCATGCATCAAGATGAGCACAGAAACAGGGAAGGCTTTAAAGGAATTAGCAGTGGCAATGCATAAAATGGTTCCACCATCAGCTGCAGACCCTCACATTGCCAAATCCAAGATTGCTGCCACAAACCTCAGGTCCATCATCAAAACAGGATTATGGGAAGACACCAATCTCTTTGAGGTTATTCCTGTTCTTACTGTGGCTTCTCTGTTGGTTGATGTGGTTTCTTATACTGAGAAACTAGAAGAGTCAATACAAGAACTATCCACCCTAGCAAAATTTAAGAACAAGGACGATAAAGAGGACCCAAAGCGTCCTCATCAAGAGGAAGCTCCAAAACCATGTTGTTGTGACAACATTGGGCTTCATCATGTTATTACAATCAACCAACCTTCTGCAGTAAACTTGTCACATAATGGAAATTCCTAATTGCTTAAATTTTACTCATTATTTTTTATAGGTTAATTAGTCACTTAAATGCGGGTTAATAAAGTTAAATCCCAAAATTGGGAACTCGTGTTTAAAATGTATGATCAAAATAATTTCAACGAAATGTAAATTCTTTTAATGTTATGTAAAATTGATTTTTCTCATTGGTAAGTCATTTTAATAAATGTTGTAGTATTGAAAGCGGTCAATGTAAAAATTATCACTTTATTAGTTTTTTAATAGCCAAAAGTTTTAGAACATATCGATAATTAAGAAAAGAATTTCAATTGCTTTATTCAACTCCCCATAATTTATTTATCTACACGATGGTTGTCCGAAGCCAACAGTTTTTGAAATAACCAAATTAGCAACATTATTCGGCAGCACCATTTTTATTTTTCTCAAGGGTCAATAGTTCATTAAAGTAGCTTGAGTTCAAACATCACGTTATTATTATTTTTAAATGAAACATATATATGTAAATAGCACTTTTAAGCGTTTTAAAAATTGGTCTTTGAACTAAATTCCAAAAGATGTATGTGTTTTGTGATGTGTGTGCATGTAACACAAACAAAGCAAAATCCGTGAACACGGGATTTCAAGTCCGTTTTGTATACGCCAGCATTCATGTTCCTGGCAGCATTTATTATTTTTTATTTTCTTTGAAGATGTTGATAAAAGAAAACCATTATTTATTTCAAATAAGTTGAATGAAATGTGTACGAACATATTTATATTTTTTAAAAGTAATTTTTGAAATAAGTAAATAAAACAATTTAGTTTGTTACCACTAAATGCAAGTCTTTTGACAAAGGATAATATTCATAAATGCCGAGTAAAGTTAAAAAGAAATGTTTCGTACGCTTTTCTTCATCTTTAACGTACAAACAAATAATACACCATTCTTTACTTATTCATTTCCTTTTAACTTAGTAGTGTGTGTATGTATATAATTATCTTTAGAATTAATTTTAATAAAGCTCATTGAGAGAGATTGAAAGAGAGAAATTACCATCTTCATATTTTTAGATTGAAATAAACATAACATGTTAAGAACTTAAAACATATGTATACATTTTAAAAAATAATTATGAAGTATTTACGCCAATTTATTAAATAATAATAATTTTCTCCTTGTTTATTTCGCTGTTTTTTCTATTGTCACATGAAAAACATTTCTGTATTAAGTGACATAGTCTAAAAAGAGTTATGGTTGCACACTCCATTGTAGAGGTAGAGGCTGGACATGATATATATATATATATACAAGCACACAATGACCTTCGTATTAATGTTGCATTCTTTTTCAACTTCTAATCGCTTGGTTCCTTCAAAGGACAAACAAAAATGGCGTTGCCAGCAGTTGCTGAATACACTACAAGGCCCGAGAAGTGGTGGGATAAGTTAGTGAAGATGACAAAGATGGTAAAGAAACTTGCACAAGATGACCCCAGAAGAGTTATTTATGCCTGTAAGGTGGGATTGGCATTAGTATTGATTTCCATTTTGCAACATTTTCGTCCCTCCTTCTACGGTTTTGGTTCCAATATAATATGGGCAGCAATTACCATCTCTTTCATCTTTGAATTTTCCGTTGGTGAGTTACCATTTTGGAGACCTCAATACCCATTTAACAAATGCTATCATCTTTACCTACCTACGTACACACATTTATGTATCTAGTGTAAATTATTTTTATTTGTAAAACTTGTAAAGTTAGACTATATACTAGTTAAAAGGTTTAAATAAAGTTTCAATCTTTAAAAAATTATGAGTTTTTATTTAATTCTTTGTTTTTATTATTATTTTTTCAAATAAGTCCCTAAATTATTATTTTTATATGGTCTAAAATTTTATTTAAAGATATAAAAGATGTGATATTATTTACATATCTCATTCATATCAGCATATGACTATTTATAAATGTTACGTGTAATTTTTTAAATTTTATTTATTTAAATAAGAATAATATTTGATATATCTATTTGTTTATCTATGTATATTTGTTTTGTAATAATAATTTTCAGGCCCAACACTGGCGAAAGGTATAAGCGAGATATTGGCGACGGGGCTAGCTGGTGGACTGGGTGTTGCAACCCGTAGCATAGCGATTCTTTCTGGGGAGAAAGGAAAGGCTGTGTTTTCTTCGTTCTTTGTCTTTGTGATAGGTATAATTATTAAATTAGCTAAGTTAATTAAGTGTTAAAATTTTAGGTAGAGCTAACTATGTTCTCTGAAATCTGAATGACTTGAACAATGATTAATTAATTAAGTGTTTTATAATATGAGGAGGATTATTACTATTATTTTAATTTGCAGGTGGAATCGTGACATACGTTAGACTTTCTCCATGGTTGAAGGCGAGATACGATTATGGGTTGACCATCTTCATATTGAACTTTTGCTTGATATGTCTTTTGGATTATACGAAGAGTGAAATGCTAGAAATAGCAGTGGAGAGGTTTTTAACGATCATTGTTGGGAGTTGTGTAGCTATTGTCGTATCTATTTGCATATGCCCTGTTTGGGTTGGCCACGATCTTCACAATCAGATTGCTAGCGACATGGAAAAGCTTGCCGATTTTTTTGAAGGTACTGGAATTTTGAGGTGCAACTAAAATGCATATGCCAAATGTATCTGCTTATTTTAATTTAGCATTGCCCTCGCATATTGACCAAAACCACAGGATTTGGTGACGAATACTTCAACAATTCTGAGATTTCGGAAGCTATGGGTGATAAACCACTTCTCCACAGATACAAGAGCGTCCTCTCTTCAAAAAGCAGTGATGAAACAATGGTAAACATCGTCAACGCTGTTTTCTTGCATAGATCTTAGAAAAAAATAAAAATAAAAATCACTCATCAATCCTTCTCTATTCTAACATGTTCTTTTATTATTAATTAAAATTTATGAGAAAAATTTATAAAATAAGATGTGAAACAACAACATTTTATATTTTTCTAATAAATTCCAGACAATAATAAAATATTATATTAAGGAGTACTCTTTTCATTATTTACTATTTGATGTTTTAGTAATAATTGTTTATTTTATAATTTTAATTATCATTTTATAAAATCAATAAAAAAAATTATATATTTTTAAAATGTCATCTTAATAATAGTGTGTGTTTTTAGACAAATTAGTTAATATAAGAAACAAGGGATATAATAAAGATTTAATTAACATTTTGTAAAAAGCTAGAATATTAATAATTATATTATTAGATCTCGTAGCACAACCTTAAACCGAAAATTAAGGGAGAGTGAAAAAAAATGTTAGCATTTTTTCTAACATATAATCATCATCACTATATTTTATTGTAGGTGTTTTTGGCAAGATGGGAACCTTGCCATGGCCGGTTCCGATTTCGCCATCCATGGAAGCAATACACAAAGATTGGTAACTTAACGCGGTTGTGTGCTTACAAAATTGAAGCTATTAGTGTCTACCTCGCCAGCTCTAAGCATGTACGTTATTCTAATGAATTCTTACACTAATAACATGTTTGTATTTATATTTAAATAAACATAAATTCACGTTTCCTTCAATATTATTAATTATAATTTTTATATTAAATTTATAGATATGTTTATAAATTTTTTTATTGTATTTTCAAACCCAAAAACCTTTGTTTTTGTGTTCAGATTCCGTCCGAACTTGGAAGCAAGATTAAAGAGTCATGCACAAGTATTAGCCTGGAATGTGGGAAGGCCCTTAAAGAATCATCTTTGAAAATGAGAGAGATGAGAAAATCATCAATGCAAAATAGGCATGTTACAAATGCTAAAAATGGTGTTGAATCTCTTAAATCCGCACTAAGAGCGAACCCATGGGAAGGAGCTTATGATCAAGTTGAAATAATATCGGCAACTGCAGTGGCTTCACTACTAATTAAAACAGTGTTTTGTATTGAGAAAATTTGTCAAGCTGTTGACCAACTTGAATCCCTTGCAAAAGTACAATCAATTTCCGATGGTGATGGTTCGCTTCATGTCCACACCATTAACGAGGGACCTCCAAAAATATGACAACAAAATTCGACATTTAAGTCGTGAGCACACCAAGATACATAACATGTAATTTCATTACATTGAATTCGATTTTTTCCAGTAGAAGTATATAACATGTGGTAAAGTAAAATTACAGAGAAGCAAAATTCAGTGTATTTAAACACTTATGTATGATCAATAGATCTCTCTTTTTTCGACGTGATCAATTGATCGTTCGTTATAATAAATACTTCTCATTTTTCTAGTAGAAAAATCGAAGTCATTGCTTTTCTCAAACGAAAAAAAATAGTGATAACTAGGCCCAATCTCACAAACAAAGCAAATTAACGTCCTAACGATCAACGTCTCAACTCTCGTTCTTTTTCTCTTTTTTTAGTTGAAGTTTGGATTGCACCAGTGGATGATGAAGAATGTAAGTTATCTTCGTCATTTCATTGTTATTGTTCTTGCAATTTCTTGTTTTTATTCTTAATCCTGTTCTTAATTTTGCATTTCTTGTTCTTGATCTTGTTCTTGCTATTCCTTTTCGTTGTTCTTGCAATGCCCTCTTTTTCTTCTTCTTGTTCTTGCAACTTCTTTCCATGTTCTTGATATTTTTTTGCTTGTTCGTGTAATCTTTTGTTCTCATTTGTGTAATTTCCTGTTCTTTTCCTTGTTCTTGTAATTTCTTGTTCTCCTTCTTGTTGTTCTTATAAATTTTTTTCCGTGTTCTTGATATTTTTTTCTTCTTGTTCATGTAATTTCTTGTTCTTATTCTTTTTCTTGTTCTTGCTATTTCTTTTATTTGTTCTTGCAATGCCATGTTCTCCTTGTTCTTGATATTCTTTATTTTGTTTTATGTGATTTCTTGTTTTTATTCTTTTTCTTGCTATTTCATTTCCTTGTTTTTGCAATTTCTTATTCTCCTTCTTGTTGCTCTTGGAATTTCTTCTCGTTCTTACTGTTTATTTTCCATGTTCTTGATATTCTTTTTTCTTGTTCGTGAAATTTTTTATTCTTATTTTTTTTTCCTTGTAATTTATTCTTCGTGTTCTTACATTTTTTTGGCTCTCTCGATCTACTTTTTTTTTGTTTGTGCAATTTCTTGTTCATATTCTTTTTCTATTTCTCGCTATTTCTTTTCCTTTTCCTCCTTCTTCTTGTTCTTGCAATTTCTTTTGTGTTCTTGTAATTTATTGTTCTCTTTCTTGGTGTTCTTACAATTTCTTATTCCAGTTCTTGTAATTTTTGTTGTTGTGCTTTGCCTTACAGATCCCGCACGAACATGGAAGCAAGATTAAAGAGCAAAGCTTAAGTATTAGCCTGGAACGTGGGAAAGCCCTTAAATAAAGAATAATCTTTGTTAGACAGATGAGAAAAGTAATCAATGCCAAATAGCCATGGGAAGGAGCTTATGATCATGTGCAAATAATATCACCAACTGCACTGCCTTCACTGCTAATAACACTGCTTTGCTTTGAAAAAATCAAGCCGTTGACCAACTGGAATTTCTTGCAACAGTACAATCAATTTCCGATGGAGAAGGCTCGCTTCATGTCCACACCATTAATGATAATAAAAATTAAAGATTTAAGTCGTGAGCACACAAAGGAAATCACACTATGATACATAACATGCATTTCGTTATACCTTTAATTCGATTTTCTTTTTCCATATATAATATTTTATGTGGTTAAGTAAAATTATAGAGAAGCCAAATTCAATGCATTTTCTTTTTGGTCCAGAAATTCAGTGAATTTAAATACTTTTGTATGACCAATAGATCTCCCTCTTTTTTTAAACACTGCCTTTTTTTTTTCAAAAAGATTAAGAACAAAGAAAAGCCCAAAGGCCCAAGACACAAAAGCAAAGAGTCTCTGTTTTTGGTCAAAGAAAGGAATTACAAAACAAAATAAAGCGAGATAACTAGGCCCAATTGAGCAACGGAACCTTGCGCTATATATTGTAGGCAAGTGCCGAACTTAGCCCAATTATACAGATCTTTTGCACATCTATAGTAAATAAAACTTGACAAAATAAAAAAAGAGTGAATAAAACGTATAATTGTCATTAAATAATTGGCTTTTCTTAAAAGCAGTGGATAAAAAAATATGCATAAACTTTTATGAATAATCTCTGTACAAATTATATTCCAAAGAAAAATTATGTAATTTTCTGAGGACGGTGCTTTGTTTGCTTGTTAAAAAGCAAACAAAGGATATACGAAACATTTGTTCTTGTCGCTATTCTGCTGTCGGGAATATTACTCGCCAAAAACTATCCTTGAAATAATACTTTGCTTATATAATATAATGAAGATAAATTTTAGTCCAATGAAAATCCAGCAAACTAAAACAAATGAAAAGTATTTTTCAAAAAAATAATTGTGATTTTTTTCCAATATCAAACTATGTAAATTTATTACATAATCAATCATATACTATGTAAATTTATTTTTATTACATAATCAATCATATACTATAACTATGTTTTATTTACTTGACAATATTTAAATTTAAAGATTAAAATACCTAATAAAATTAAAAATAAAAAGTTAAGGTGATACTTATAAAATTTAAAAGACTAAAATACAATAGTTTTTTTATCTCAAAAATTAAAATAATGATTTTATTTCTCAAATTTCAGTTACATCAGGGGTTAAACGAGCGGGAACATCGGAATGGATGGTTTTGTACCCATAAGATCTGCGGTCAAAATACATAACTAACTGGTTTGACCGGTAATTGAAATTAAATTAGTGAAAAGAAAATTTTCGCCGCTAGTAGTTCAAGAACCAATTTCTAAAACCTTTTGCGTTATAATTTACCCACTTTTATTGAATATACTATATCTAGTATTTTCAAAAGAAATAAATATTTAATTTATTAAAATTATTTATATATTAAGATTTATTTCCATTTCAAAAATATTGATGATATAAATTAATTTATATATTAAATAAATTAAATAAAAAATCTATCAATTAATATATTTAAAACAATTTTTTATTTCTCATATTTTGAAAAAAAAAATTAAATAGAACTAAAAGTAACATAAAAAAAGTGTTTTATGCTGCAAATTAAGCTATTAATTTCAACTAAGTTGGCCAGTTGAAATAGGCCGCTAATTAAGGATGTTGAATCAGTACCAAAGCCTCACGAACAAGCGTCTAAATGATGCCATAAGTGTACAGCTAAAGTACTCGATTAAGAAGAAGAAGAAAAACGAGCATAAGTTATGTACGCAGCTAGAACAAGAAATTGAAGCTATTAATCTAACATAACAGAGGAACGTTAAAACTAACTGAGCATTACTAAAACATGTTATGTTTAGTCTTAGTATGAAATATAAATGGAAACGCGATAACTAATTACTCTACAGAAAACATAAGTTAGACTTTATCCTTACAGAAAAACCATAGGCGCGTTGAATCGATGATTTTTGTCTCAAGACGGTTTCACGATATTTAAAATGTTTAATATAAGAAATTAGCCAAATCTCATTGTTATTACATATATAATGAAACTAAACATTTACTGTTAAAATCAAGTGCATCAATAATATGGTTCTAGATCGGACGTAATTGAAAGGATGTTCTTCAGCTCAGTTTTGTTGAAAAATATGGTTCCAATGTTTCAGACAGGAACATGCTATGATTTGCAATTCAAACGTTCGAACAGGAATATAGAACGACATAGTTTTGTCTTGTATGCTGTTTATACTTTTGTCATGTTTCTCTAAAATAATTTGTAAGTCTATGTATATGTAACACAGTTCACACTTATTTTTTAATATGTTTACAATATTTTAATTTTGTATGACATGCTTTTTAATGTCTCTCTTGCACACAGTCTTAACATACATTCATCGATGGTTCCCCCCTATCCGCTGTATGTACGTGTATAATTTCTTTTATATGTTCCATTTTGAACATCTTAAGTATGTGTATATTTATTTATTTTTAATTAACTATCACTATTTTTATTTTGATCATAAGAAATATATATATTCATTTTAAATGCATAAATTAGTAAATTTTTTATATTTCATTTCCTATAATTAAGATATATATTAAAAAATAACTTGCTTAACACTAATATAAGTTAATATACTCTTTCATTAAATATACAAGTGAAAATGAATTTACTTTAATAATAGCTTTTATGAATGTTATTTTGTTTAACTTTTTTATTAAATTCAAAATTACATATTTATAACTGTTAGATTTATATAAACATGTATGATTCACATATTAATATAACATTATTCACAGTTTAATTGATAAAATTTAATATTTATAAAAAATTATTTAAGATGTTGTATATCAAATTTTAGATTGTAAATATATAATTTTATAATCAATATATTTTTATATTTTAAATATGTATATTGATGTTAAATAAAATTATTAATTATTTTTTATTTATATAATTTTTGCAAATTTATAAAAAAGATACTTTTAATTTAACAATTGAATTGGACAGATTTCATATTTATAAAGAGTTACTTAACAAAGTAGCTATCGTCAAAATTACTCTTAAATTAATTTAATCTTCAGTTCTTTCTAAAATATAATATCAAATTATAAAATAAAATTATTTTTATTAATTTGATACTTAATTATTTTTTATAATAAATTAGAAAGAGAAATAAATTATGCTATGGGTCTCATCTATTATAAGTGTATATAAATAATGTTTGCAAAGTTATCTCCGTGGCTTTAAAAGGATGGACCACTTTGACGATGGTCCATTTAGCCGTTGGCTTAAAAAATGCCTTTCACAAAGTGAAAAGTTGAAAACGTGGCGAGTCCATAATCACTTGTGCAGCCAAGTCGTGAGAGATCCAATGATCGATTACTAATCGCTTGTTACAATTATATTATTAAATGTTATCTTAGTTAAAGCATTAAAAATATAATCAGTTATAGATATTTCTTTGTCCATAATCGCCTAAAATTTCTCCTTTTTAAGTCTTCTCCATCAACTATCAAACGCGTATACATGAATACAAGCTTGTTAATCTTGATGATTTCAAATAAGCTGAGAAAGTTTAGAAATCCTCTCATTAGTTTTAATCATGTTATAAAAGATAAAGACACAATTATTTAGATAGGCGTATGATGAACAATCCATGGATGACCCATAGTCGATCTTACATTTAAGCCTAACTTATCCTAAGCTTGTTTATTGAATAAATTAAGTAGAAGTATTTTCTAAAATCTTATTTAGTAAAAAAATATTATGTCTAATAAATTTACTTTATTTAAATAAATAATAACAGTAGTAATAATACAATAATGATCACATTATTAATATATATTAATTTTATTATAACATCTGGTTAATAATGATAACAGTAGTAATAATACAATAATAGTATAAATAAATTTGAAGTATCTTAAAAGTGATAAAATTTAATTGAGAAAAAAAATATTATTTTTAGTATATAATAAATGTATATACTTCATTGCAAGCATCAATGTTAATATTTTTGAAAGATGCTAACCCGCTAATGCATCAATGCCATCCCCATCAATGATCATCAACAATGTTTCAGATGTGTATCACATGGTACATGAACCTCTTCTACACTACAACTTTTTCACTCTATTTTAACGTCATGAAACATGTTTTATTTTCTATAACAGTGTCAAACATGTTTACCCGTGTTTTTCTTAGACATTACCTCCATCTATATAAACCCGGAATTACCTTCCCAAGCATGCATTCATTTTGATCTTCCAATCATTTACTTCATTTGGAAGAGCAATAAAAAAATGGCCTTGGCAGCAGGTGCTGAATACACTACAGGCTGCACTCACACATGGCGAACCTTACCAGAGAAATCACGGGCTAGGTTATTGAAGTTCACAAAAATGGTAAAGAAAATTGGACAAGATGACCCAAGACGGGTTATTCATTCCTTTAAGTTCGGATTGGCTCTAGTGTTGATCTCTATTTTGGAACATCTTCGTCCCTCATTCTATGGTTTTGGTGACAACATTATCTGGGCGGTTCTCACTGTGGTTCTTGTCCTAGAATTTTCTGTGGGTGAGTAGCCATTTAGGAGTCCTTTTAATAGCTATCTATATATACACACACACACTTAGGTTAACAAATTAATTAATGATATGATATTTATGTATGAGCTATGCTTCGGTTCATTTTTTTAAGGTGCAACACTCGGGAAAGGTTTAAACAGGATGTTGGCAACGGGATTAGCTGGTGCTATGGGCGTTGCAACCCATAGAATAGCAGCTCTTTCTGGGGAGAAGGGGAAGGATGTACTGACTTCAACCTTTATCTTTGTGATAGGTAATTTATAATTAACGGAAAAGGTTGAATGAAATTCTATGCTCTCTTGAAAATTCACAAAAATAACCTTTTTTTTGTCTCCTTCAAAAACACAAACATATATATTGTTGGCAAATAGTTGTATTAGTGTCAGCAAATAAAATGTCACTGTGATTTAAGTATATTTTTGCTAATAATTATATGATATTATTAACAAATAGCTGTATTATTCTTAGTAACAATAAAAGTTGAAAATATTCCTTTTTTCATTACTTAGTGCATTGTTGAAACAATAAACATCGTATAATAATTACTTATAAATATTATTTCAGTGGAAGTATTTATACTAACAACATATAAGTTGACAAGAGTAAGTCAGTAACAAATATCTTAATTCTCGTAGTATGAACACATGAATCAATTAAAGTAACTAAACCAGAGTGATCTCGAAATCAAATTTTTAGTATTTAAATGAATTAAATATTGAAATAAAAAACTTTTACGTTAATCATAATTTTATTTATCTTAAATTAAGTTTTTTTTCATAAAACAAATACATATTTAGACAAGAAAAATATTTACTCTCGCTAAAAACCCAATTGTAATAGTTTTCATTAATATTCAGATCAAATCGAATTGCTGTAATTAATTTGGTATCAGAATGGGTTAAACTGTTAAATCATACGTGGAGGGGATTTTGTTTTTCAATAATTTGCAGGTGGAACGGTGACATTTATGAGATTTTCCCCTCGATTAAAGGCGAGATACGATTATGGGTTGATCATATTCATATTGACCTTCTGTTTGGTATCTCTTTCGGATAACACGGAGAGTGAACTCCAAGAAATGGCTCATGAGAGGTTTTTGACAATCATCATTGGGAGCTGTATAGCTATCACTGTATGTATCGGCATATGCCCGGTTTGGGTTGGCCAGGATCTCCACAATCAGATTGCTGGCAATATTGAAAAGCTCGCAGACTTTTTGGAAGGTAATGTGATTTAATTTGTGGTACAATAAAACCTAAGTCATGTTTGATCATATGGAAAGTGAAGGAATAGAAAGAATGTAGTAAAGATTTCATTGTTTAAATTGTTTAAAATAAGAAAATAAAATGGATTATAATGATATAGATTTTATCTCATTTCATTTAATATTTCGCTTTCTTTTTCCTTTTAGTTTAGGTAAAATGTGATCAAATATGTTTTTCTTTTCTCTATTTCTTATGATTGTACGTAAGATTATTTTTATTCTTTTCACTATACTACACTTTATTTTTCTCTGTTTATTTCACTGCACTTCACTCTCCATTTAGATATGTAAATATAGCCTAAATAACATTATTTTAGACTAAACTATGTTCCTGATTCTGTACCAAAAGAAGGAAATTTGTACCTAAAACAAGTTCCTGATGATTAATTAATATCAACAAGAGATTTAAAACTAATGATAGCAGTGGCAATATTCGCAGGATTTGGAGGCGAGTACTTCAACGACAACATAGGGAATACAGAAGCTGAGGGTGATAAGCCATTTCTCCGTAGATATGAAAGTGTCCTCTCTTCAAAAAGCAGCGAAGAAACCATGGTGACACCAATAACGTTCTTTCGCATTACCCTTTTATCAGTTTCAAAAAAAAATCACTCCATCAATTCACCTCGTTAATCTTTGATTAATTTATTTTGACATTTATAGGCTGTTTTGGCAAGATGGGAACCTTGTCATGGCCGGTTCAGATTTCGCCACCCATGGAAGCAATACTTAAAGATCGGGAACCTTGTACGCTCGTGTGCTTACAAAATTAAAGCTCTTAGCATCTACCTCCTCGACTCAGAGCAAGTATGGTACATGAATGACAATATATATTATTCATACGTAAATTTCAATTTATACAACAAATTAATTAGGATTACGGAGAAAGACAAAATAGAAAAAAAGAAGTATTGGATAAAATAAGTAATATGTTGAAAAATGATGGAGAAAAAATGAATTATAAAATATAAAAACTTATTATGAGTATAATATTACTATTCACATTTCTTATCTTGTTTTTGTGCTTTGCCCCACAGACCCCGTATGAATTGCGAAGTAGGATTCAGGAGTCATGTACAAATATTAGCTTGGAATCCGGAAAGGCCCTTAGAGAATCATCGTTGATACTTCAACAAATGACTAAGTCATCAGTGCCTAATCCCCATGTGGCAAACGCTAAAAACGCAGCGGAATCGCTTAAATCCATACTAAGAACAAACCCATGGGAAGGAGCTGATCATCTGGAAATAATACCAGCGGCTACGGTGGCGTCACTACTCATTGATGTTGTAATTTGCGTTGAGAATATTTGTCAAGCTGTTGACGAACTAGCATCCCTTGCAAAATTTGTGCCTTCCCAATTACTTCATCGAGGAACAGTGCAACCAGTTTCTGAGCATGATGGTTCGGCTCATGTCATCACCGTTACCGATTGACCACCAAGATTAAAATAAATTAAACACAATAATTAAGAAGACTTATTAATGACATTGGATAATAAAATTGGGTTTACATTACGCTGCTTTAACAAAATCATGGTGGTCTATTGCTATTTATTAATTATTGTTATCTCATCAAATTTTGTATTACAAAATATGTTCTTGATCTTTAGATCATTTCCAACCAAATTAAGATGTTTATTATGCTTTTCTTACTTTTTCTTTTCTTTTTTTTACTCAAACAAAGGTATCTTATAAAATATTACCATTGAAGTCTTGTGGACTGGCTTCACGAATAAGTAATGGTTACCTATATAATGATTATTATATTTTTACATTCATATTTTTTATATTTTTATCACATTATTCGTTGCCTTTTACATTTATTGTATAAGCAACCGACACTTGTGGAGAAAAAGGGAGCCATCTAGTATTGTCTCTGAACACAGAAAAATAATAATAATAATAATAATAATTGGACTTTGCTTTGATAATTTGTGGTACATGTATTAGTTCAATGATCAGAAGTCGCTTGAATTTACATAAATTCAATAAAAAACCGGTTTACAATCAATATTTTAGTTAAACGAAGTTCAAGATAAAAATTAATGACAAAATGATTTAAATTTACATAACAGGTTTATTTCAAATAGATTTAATTCAACTATACGAATCGTCAAGGCAGCCCTACATACTTATGCTACTTGGGTAATAATGGCAATTTTGTTTTTCAATTAAATTGATGATGCAAATGAAATTTTCAGCCTTGAAGAGGTGTGGTGGAAGCATGTTTTTCCAGAGAGAAACTTGAATGCACTTGCCTTATGTTTTACTTTCACTGGCATCTATAATTACCTGTGATTACTGCTCTGCCCTGGTGAAAATGCGGACTTGTTTTTATGGCTTCTTGTTTTGATCCTTAAAAAAGAAATGTAATATTCTCTTTGAATTATAATTTACACACTTCAAATTTCAGTTTCACAAATTGTAAATTAATTTTTATCCACAAATTATATATATTTATTTAGTAAATATTATCAAGTTGTAATTTAAGCCTCAAATTATGGTTTATATATATATATGTGAAAAAAAAAAAACATTTGTTAACATATTTGGTTCAATAAAGAAAAAGTAAAGGGGTTTCAACGGAGAGAAAAGGAGAAGACGAAAGTAAAATGTTTCTCATATTTAGTTAGATTTAAGTGAAAGGTAGAGAAGGATTCCTTTATTTAAGTTACAAGAAGAAAAAAAATAAAGATAATTTATTATTATATTTTTTAAAATATTGGTAAAAAGTAAAAAAATGAAATTACAAAATAATTTAATTAATATTATCTTAAAATATAAATTATTTTCCTTCTTTTAAATTCTCTCAATATTAAAAGAGGAACGAAAGTAGGATAGGAAACAAAAACTAATTAAAAAGTTGTTTGGTTTTAAGAAAATTTTGTTTATTTTTAATTTTTAATTTTAATTATAAACTGTTAATTTATTTTTATTAAAAAAACTAAAATATTTCATTTCAATACATGTACCCAATAAATAATTGTATATCTTTCCTTTTTAGATAACTTTATTTCTTAAATATATTGACAAAGTTTGATTCTTAGTCGAGTGACAGAAAAATATTATAAAAAATTAAATTAAATCAATTCAAATACTTATTTTAGTCTTGTAAAACGTAAGTATTAATTATTTTAGTTTAAATTTTATAAAATTTTTACTTTGATCTTTGACTTTATAAAATGATATTTATTATATTTTTAATATAAAATGATAAAAAATAAATAAATAATCAAAATTAGATTTAAAACATATTAAAAATTAATTTTTTTATAAAATTAAAAACTAAATTAATGGATATTTATAGCTTTAAAAATTAAAATGAATTAATATTTACTTTATAAAATTAAAAAGACCTCCGTTTAGTTTAAAGTTAAACGTAATTAATTGAGTTGTTAAGTATAATTATATGTGACTTATAATATAAATTAATTTAGTTATTAAATGTGTACTTTTTTATAAAAAATGTGATAATTAATTTTTTAACTATAAAATTAACAAATCCGTCAACATCGTAATCAACATTATCAGCCAATCAAGGCTCACGTCCCGCTGCGTTTGGTTGAATTCAAGTGATCGAAAATCAATATTCATGAAACTATGTGAACTTTTTGACTGAAATGCTGCTTTTAAAAAAAAGGTTTACCAGATTATTGTACTTTAAATATTAATTATTTACAGGTTTGAAAATAGTGGTGAAAATCTACATGTATAAACTTTACGTTAATTTGCAACTATATATATATCAATGACTTGCAAACTTAATTATATCATATACCTTAGGTTTAATTTGGTTAAACAATTAAAAACAACAGAAAAAAAAATAAAATTCGTATTATTTAATCAAACAAATATTAAAAGAGAAAATATTGTAAGAAATAAAACCATTTTTTTCTAAATTTTTAACTCAAATTTTAAAATCTCTTTTTTTTTCTTATTTTTTTCCTTTCATCCTGTCAAAATATACATAATGTGATACTGGAAAGTGACAAATTGAGAAAGTGACATTTTAGCTTTGTATATATGAAAATAATTAGTTTATCTTATATTACATAGTTGAATAATTATAATCAAGAACTCCATCAATTTTTCCATCATTATTGCAGTTTTTTTAGTTTGAGTGCTATTATTAACATTTAGCAAAAATAAAACAAAGTAAAATAAAATTTGAGCAAAAAATACAATAAATGGACTAAAATTCAGTGCAATATATTATGCGTGATTATGCAAAAGGTGTGCACAAATATGAAATATTGTAATCATTGTGATATAACATGAAGATGCAAGATTCAACGTCAAATCAATCATAAGCATGCGCATGATCATGGAGTATTATGCAAGGCCTAGGCATTGAAAACTAAATCAAAATATGAATTTTTGTTTTTCGTCTGAAATGAAGATATGAGGTTGAACATGCACTGCTGTGCATAACTCCCAGCAAAGCCGAATTGTGCTACTCTTTAAAAAAGACACAAAATTAAAAAGACTTTTTGACAATGTGAAAATGTCTTCTACATCCATTTTCTCTTCCTTAAATTTGTTATAACCTCAAGGAGGTTTTCAAGTAAGAATTAGTGCTCTTCTTTTTTGGTACCATATTTATGTGTGTATTGTTTTCCAATTGTGTTTTTCACGTTGATACGAAGATATATTCAAAATTTGCTACTCTTTATATATGATTTTAGTTAAATGATTGACTAACAATTGTAATATAATTAATTATAAATATACCAATTGTTTACAGTGAAAATTTATAAAATATAAATAAATAAATTTAAAAATAATTTAAAGACTGAATTTTAAGTTCTTTTTGAGTTCTCTTAAGTTTGTTGTTAATATAATAATATATTGACGTTGTAAAATAAGTATTAAGTAAGTATAGTATATGGTAATCACGTAGAACTGAATTAAACATAAAAATTTACAGAACATGCAGAATAAGAATAAAACTGCAAGAGCAGAAAGGATAAAATAAACTTGAAATAAATTACAGAAACATAAATGTGCAAAAAAATAAATGTACGACTTCGACAAAGAACAACAATAGTCGTATGTCTCTAGATAGCTAGTGTCTAGCTTTGTGCAAAATTTCAGCGTGTAGAGAATTTTAGGTGCAAAAAATTGTCTCTAATGATGTAAAGCTTTATAGTATTTATAAGTAAATGAACCACCACCATTCTTCTCTTTTTACGGATACTTCTCAGTAACTAGTAACTGCCTTCTACACGTGTATTCCTTCAACCATTATTTTTCATTATTCATGATTGCTCATGATCTTGCTGACGGTTGTGGCTTTTTCTATAATTTTTATACTCATGATCTTTCTTTGTGTCTCAGGCCTTCAACTGATGGTAACTGCTGATAATCGCTTTGAACCTTATAATTCTTTCGATATCACTTTCTAAGCCCTATAATGTCTTTTGGACTTAGAATAATTCTCTGTTCAACTCTTTTTTTGATCAATTCTGAAGAAAATCTAGGAACTCACTCATTCTTATGTATTTAGAATAATTTTCTTGTCCATCCTAATTTTTTGACCAATTTTGAAGAAAATTTGGAAGTTCATTTAGTTTAACTTGAAAAATCTTAAAAAATTCCTTGGAAGGTCACTCTCTTTTTGACTAAGAATGGGCATCCTCACGGCCCTTCAAAATTACTCAAAATATGACCTTCTTCTTGATGAAGGATAGAGCTTTTTTCATGATCGTCCAAATCTCCTCGAAATATAGTCTTTTCAACAAAAAATGAGACTTCTCCAATCTCCAAATTTTTTTAAAAAATAGTTCTTCCAACAAGATTTTAGAACTTAGAATATTTTTCTTATCAATTTTTATATATCAACCACTTTTGACTATCTTTATTCTAGAGTCTTGACAAATTCTCAAAACTCTTCAAAATGTAACCTACTTTTCAATAAAAAAAAATAAAGCTCTTCTATCAATCTTTATAGAAACGAGTCAAAAATTAGTTCTTTTGACAATTTTTGACTTTAAATTTTTCATAGGTTATTGACTTGTTAAGGTATAGGTACTTATGATTCTCTTTAATTTTAGTCGAAAGACATGTTTATGTTATTAATTTTCGAGGTGTGTTCCTCTTTTAAAAAGCATAACCTATTTCCTATTACAAAAATTTGATCACAACTTTTATAACTTAGAAAATTTTTCTTCTCCAAACACTCATGTAACGGTTGAATCTTTTGATATTACACCTGAATTTAAGCTGAATCAGAACCTGAAGTTAATAGGTCGTGAATGGCCAACACAATGGATTTTGCATATAAAAAAACAAACTCGTCACTAAAAATGGAGTCAGATTTTAACAAAAAGTTTCAAACATGAAGTTATAAATTTCTTTACTAAAACAACGGTGCTGTGTGATAAGTGAGATCATAGATACGAAGATAGAATATTCAGACTCTAATCAAGAGAGTCAATCTTTTCATTTAAACGTGTCAAAACTCAAGTCAGACGTTACATATTTACGTTCTCATCACATTCACATCTTCATTTCCACCATATCAACGCAGTGTGTTTGTTTGACATCTACTTGGCCTTCTTATCTTCATTTTTACTTCACTTATGTGTCCTTTCAAGTGCAGGTTGGAATCCAAAGCTGAAACACTTGTTTTGGGTTAGTCTTGCACGTGAACAATAAGAAATTCTAGTTTCATGGTATTGGGACCCAATTGGAAAAAAAGGTGCACGGTGATATGTGATGAAGGCATCCAAAGGTCTTAAACTAGGACATGAGGTGGAATTTCTGTTGGGAAATTTGAAAGAAAATCCGTCAACAACGTTAATGTTGCGGCAGGGAAGGGAATTTGAAAGGCGTAGAAATGCTCCCTTAGTCTTTGTTGGTTGTTAATACTACTCCCTCCTCTTCTAATTATAAAACGTTTTAAATAAGTCCCAAAATTTTAAAAAGTTATTAAAATTATTTGATATATTTATTTTTTAAATATTAATTATAACATTTTAAATTTATTTTTATTTAAGTTAACTTTATTATTATATTAATTTTTTAAATTAAAAAGTTTAATGTTTATAAAACAAACTAAAATTCTTATGTATTAGTATCTCAAAACGCCTAAATTAGGTTTAAGAGCTAGTTTATTTCACTCCAAACCCTCTTAAGATCAAGCAAAAAGAGGTGCTACAATAGCTAATGATGTTTGGTTAAAATTAATTAAACTCACCTAATAATTTATTTTAAATAAAGGTGAGTTTACTCATTTTTTTACATTCTATTTTTTCTCTATTATTTTAATAAAATGAATATTTCTTAAATTTTTTTCTAAATACAAATTATTTCTTTTAACTTCAATTCTTTCAACATCTATAGTTTCTTAAAAAGTGCACATTAATCTTTTTTATTTTTTATTTTTTGGGTTCATAATATTTTGTTTCAAACAATAATTGTCCGAATGCTTTCGTATATTCAATTAAACCCAAGAAAAAACCAAGTTAACTTCTTAATTTTGGTTGTGTAAACCAAGTTAACTTTTGCTTTTGCCCCTGCAAACCGGGTTAACTTGAACTTCTAGACCAGTAAGATCCAACTGAAAAGGCAATGAATGACAAAAGTAAACAGGCCCACAACAGGTCCATTGGGCTTAATTTTTCAGACAAATACAAGGGTTAGGCCCTTAGGCTTTGTTTGCGTTGAAAAATAAACCTTTTGTTTACGTTTATTCTAGAGGAAAATAAAAGCGCTTAAACAGGATTTACTCTGGTGGATACCTCTTGGGTGTATCTTGGTGTCTTTTTGGTGCATTTTGGTGTTTTTTTTTTATGTATTTTAATGACTTTTGGTGTATTTTGATGGCTCTTGATGCTATTTTGGTGTTCTTTGACGTCATTTTAGTGCCCTTTGATGTTTGGTATAGACTTAAATTTTTATTTTTATTTTTCAAAACTTCTATTTTTTGAATTTTCTAAGTCCCTCATTGTATAAATTTTTTCAATATCCAAACAAGATCCCTTGTTACTTTTTCTTCTCTTAGCTTGCACTCGAATCTCTTTTCGTTTCCGCTTCATCTGAACTCGCAGTCAAAGCCTCACGCATAAAGGGCACGTGACTACATAGCAAAAATTAAACAGTACCAACCAATTCTCACTCACTGGCGCTCATGGCCAGTGATACTGGTGCAGCATCTTCCACGGTGAACCATATTGAAGTTTTCTGGCACGAAGGAATGCTCAAGCATGACACGGGCAATGGAGTTTTTGACACAGGAATGGACCCAGGCTTCTTGGAAGTGTTGGAGAAGCACCCTGAAAATTCAGATAGAGTGAGGAACATGGTTTCCATTCTCAAAAGGGGTCCTATCTCACCTTACATTTCATGGAATCTTGGTAGACCTGCTCTTATTCATGAGCTCCTTTCTTTTCATACTTCTGGTACTATCTCTTTTTCAGTTCCTGTTATTTTGTATTCACATGTTGGCTATGTTGACATAACTGCCACAATCGTAGTGTTCTATAGTTAGGAGGAAAATGGGGTTTTGGTGCTTCGCATTAAATTTGAAATTTTATAGATTTGAGTCAACCCAAGTGGTTGCTAACATTGGAAGCCAAATTTAGGGCTTGGGAGGTTAGCAACAAGCAAGCTAACAACTGAATTTTTATTTTATTTTATGAATTTAATTGAAGTGTCGTGTCAACCAGACTTATTAATTTCTATAGCAATTATTATAAAAATGGCATTCACAATGTAATTTAATTAGTTGATAGTGTTACACTGTGAGGACACTAAGATTAAACTGTTACTTTATTTATATACTAACGTTGGAGATACTTTTGTGTTTGATATGAGACAGTGAATCATACAATTTTAAATGTTTTGATTCCCTAGAATATGTAAATGAACTGGTAGAAGCTGATAAAGAAGGAGGGAAGATTCTCTGTGCTGGCACATTCTTGAACCCTGGATCATGGGATGCTGCACTTCTTGCTGCTGGGACTACATTGTCTGCAATGAAACACATAATAGATGGGCATGCAAAAGTTGCTTATGCTTTGGTTAGGCCCCCTGGTCACCATGCACAGCCTTCTCAAGCTGATGGGTACTGTTTCCTTAACAATGCCGGTTTAGCAGTGCAATCGGCTTTAGATTCTGGGTGTGAGAAGGTTGCAGTTATAGATATTGATGTTCATTATGGAAATGGCACAGCTGAGGGATTTTATCGATCTAATAAAGTTCTTACTATCTCTCTTCATATGAACCATGGATCATGGGGTCCTTCTCACCCACAGAGTGGATCTGTTGATGAGCTAGGTGAAGGAGAAGGTTATGGATATAACTTGAACATACCTCTACCGAATGGAACTGGGGATGATGGTTATAGATATGCCTTCAATGAGTTGGTCGTTCCTTCAATCCATAAGTTTGAGCCCGATATGATAGTTTTAGTTATTGGACTAGACTCAAGTGCAGTAAGTTATTCTCTCTATTATCATTTTCTGCGGTTTTTTATTTATAATTTGATCGTTGTTAGCATTTTATTAACAAGTTTATATATATATATATACATATTTTTTTCATCATAGAAATCAAAAGCTGATATGCTGGTATATCACTTTCAAGGGACGGATTTAGTTTTAACCATGGTATGGTCTAAACAAATGCAATATTGCTATTTAACCAAACAGTTGAAATGATGAGTACAAACAAGACTGAGTTTGATAATCCCGTTTGGGGGAGGAGGGGCAAGGGAAGAGAGAACCATAAAATCTATACTTTGTGATTGATTACAAAAGCCTGTTGAGCTGAATTTTGAAAGAGACATATTAGAAAGTAGAAACACTCTAACTTATTCTTTATTCTTTTCAACGTACTATTTTAAGTTAAAATTTATTGAGATACACAAAATCATGTATGAGCTTTGTTAAATAGGGAGTGAGACTTGTATGATTCCTTGAATCTAATAATTTTTAGCCAATAATGAAAAGCATGTTGTTGTCATTTTTCATCTTGAAAATATGTTACCCTCCAAAAAGCAAACAGAGCCTCTTAGCTGACCTGCAACTACTCCATTGGTCAAGTAAGTTACTATGATCAGATATGAAAAACCCCAAATTATATATTATGTTCTAGTAAGTTTATGTTTGAAAAGTAGCAGATCTAACGATGATTTTTAAGGTTCTCTTTGTTTTAAAAAATGATTATATGCGGGTATCTTCATGATTTATACAGCAAATCAGGGCTCTAATGTGAAGGTGAAAAAGACACAAATAGTGTTTACTGTTTAGTTATTTTTCTTTTGACAGTTTGACCAAGTTATTCCTCACAAGTCACAAGCATTGCCCTTAGACTGTTCCTAGGGACTAGGACAATGTTACAACTAAGTGGTCCTCCTAACAATTGCCTTTTTTCTCTAGTGCTCTTTGTCTTGATATTTTATTTGGTTAATGTCAAATTTGTCAACAATAGCTTTTGGATCAGTGGTTTGTCAGCTATATGATCCAGATCCTTTTCCGTTGTAGCGGGAATTGATGTCTAATTCCATTTTCGCTTAAGAAAAAATAAAAAAAATAACAATTTTTTTACGCAAAGCAAATTTTGTGTGTTTCTCATAAGAAGAAGAAGAAGGGGGTTGAGTGTGGGGACAAGAAGAGGCTAGAGATGGGTGGAGATGGGGACAGGGGGTGGAGGTGTTGAGTATGGAAAGAAGAGGGGAAAGGTGGTATGAGAGTGGAGAGAGGAAGAAGAGAGTTAGATATAGGGTAGAGGTGGGAGAAAGAGAGCGTTAGGGGAGGAAGAAAGGAATTAAGTATGGGAAGAGGAGAATGATTGGATATGAAGGTCACGGAGGAAGTGTTAGGCATGGGAGAGAGGAAGAGCAAAAGGTTAGGAGAGATGTGACATTCGCCTAAGGACTCTAGAATTCATTTAAGTGAATTTTGTATAAAAATTTTGTCATTTTCCTAAGAAAAAATGGGACCAGACATTCAGTTATCTCTACAACTAGAGAGAATTTGTTTCCATCAGCTATAGCTCTTAGTTGGTGTTACCCTTGGGATTTGATGGGACTTAATGGATCTAGTTCTTTGCGGCTTCCAAAATTCTTAAAGACTTGTTTGGAAGTTGATTTTTGGGAGGAAAAAGAGGAAAGGAAAATATTTTGTGATTGTTATCTTTGTTTGAAAGTTTTTAGATGAGGAGAAGAGTTGATAAACTTTCAAAATTTCTTATAATCTCATATTTTTAAGTTCTCTTAAGTTGAGAGATTTTGTATTAACTTTTTTTTTTTTCTTTCTCTTCCCTCTCCTTCCTTACCCTTAAAGCTCTTTCTTTTTCCTTCTCTCTTAACTCCCAAACAAAACCTAAAAAAATAAATTATACATGATAAGAAACTTGAAAGAATTACTTCACAAAATTTACATTACAATCTCATATTTCCAATATCTCGCAATTGAATCTAAACAATGCACCATTGACATCAGGTATAGCTTTTGACCGAGTGGTAAACTTTTAATCCAAAAATAACTAATTATAGCATGTTTAAATACAACTGGTTTGTTTTATTTCGACCACTCAAAAAAAGATCGATCGCCATTACAATTAGACCAATCACTCCAATTATCTTCCTCATTAGGACAAAAGTTCTTGCATGTATTCTCGTTCCTAATTCTGATCAAATGCAGCATTGCAATGTTGATAACAATCTAATTACATTATCCATATTTTTTGTTACATTGGATTATCACATCCTATGTTTGCTTCAAGGTTTCAATATTAAAAATAAAACTGCATTTACTTACACTATATCCTGCATGTGCCTCAGTTTGATCCCAATGGAAGGCAATGCTTAACAATGGAGGGCTATAGAGAAATTGGGCGAATTTTTCATCTTCTTGCAACAAGGCACAGTGGTGGACGCCTTCTAATTGTCCAGGAAGGTGGATATCATGTCACATATTCTGCATATTGTTTACATGCAACACTTGAGGGGGTTCTCAATCTACCAGTGTGTCTACTACAAGATCCTGTTGCTTATTACCCAGAGGACGAGACATTTCCTGTTAAAGTTATAGAAGCCATTAAAAAGTATCAAAAAGAAAAAGTGCCCCTTTGGAGAAACTCATGATATCTTTCCTCCAAAACCTTACAACATGTTTGAACCTTTGATTGTTACAGAAAAAGAGCTCACATGCTTAGCCATAATGTTTATAACATCACATGTGTACAGGGATTGAGCTTCCTGGTAATTTGGCACAGGATTTGTCAGTTTGTTGAAGTTTTTCTTACTGCAGTGTATTTTTTTTTATATGAATATAAAGTGAATGGACTACAAGTGAATTGTTAACTTCTAATATTGACATTATTATTATTACAGATTTTATTAACTTCATTCCTTACATCTGAGTTTAAGTATTTACAAATAAAAAAATTTTATAAAGAAAGTACACAGTTATTATATTGAAGTTATAAATTAATAAATATTTCTCTTTTTAATAAAATTTTACTATTTATAGATATTTAAAGTTAACAAAATCTTATTATTATTTAGGTATGAAAATTATTTCATTGATTTTCTTTTTGACATCCTTTTACACTTCAAATGTCACGTCAACAGGAAAAGAAAAAAAATAATTAAGATATCAGGTTAATAAGATATAAGATAAATATAAAAATATTTGATGTGAAAATATCAAAGTTGTTTTGGTATATAAAAAGTTAAGGAGATGATAGTTTGCTTCACATCGAAACCAAGACGAATCGTAATTAGTGGATGCCTATTAGTAGCACTAATACTTGATACATTGATGCAGTTTGATCTTTGGAGGGACCATAGAAAAGGTCTAAACAAAACATTGTCAGCTGAATTCCTTCATTTTGCACGCCAATCACGCATAGGTGTGGATTGCAGGATATGAGTACACTCAGTGGGGGAGTTTGATCATTTTAGTTGAGAAAGCTAAATACATGTAAAATATTATTAAAAGATTTATTTTATCTTTTGTTATAAAATTTTACATGTTAAGACAATAATTACTTTATTTATTCAAAATATTAATTACTATTTCACATGTAAGGTAATTTTATATGTAGGGTATTAGTTTTAAAAAAAAAAGTCAAGCTTCAAATTTTGTGGACACTTATATGTTTAATATGTTGTGTAATTTAAATAAGATGATAAAATATTAAATAAAATTTACATAAAAAATAAAAAAAAATTGGGGCCATAGCTCCCTTCATAGTGCCCTCTTGCTTTGACATCTCTCAAGTGATTAATCTGTTTTGACAAAACATGATCACATGAATTAATAAAGATGGTCTCAAAACAGAAACATAGGCATTACAATGGCTAATAAAACAGGTTTCTCTTGAACAAACCTCATATCATGATGTAAATTATATTCTATTTTCGAGTTAGGCTTCGAAGATTGTGCCCAATTATCGGCACCGACAGTGCAGTGAAAAAACACAAACGACAATTCTTGGGTAATGCCAGCCAATACTTTTTCATGCGTGATTCCAAATTTCCAATTGGTAACGGATTACAATAACGATGGATCGAAGGATGAAATCAAAAGGATTGGAAGTAAATAAAGATGAATCTAATAGAAATAAAATATTAGCAGAATTATGTAATATTTTGATAATATGAAACAAAGATAAAAATATAAAAATTACAGATTGTATATTTAGATAAATTAAAATATAAGTGAAAAGAAATATATTATAAATATTTAAACTATTTTGTCTTTCCAATAGTATAAATAATCACGTTTCAGAGTATTTTGACAAGTTTAATGATGGGGAAATTTTAAAGATGAAAATTTCGTAAGAAGTAAAATCTTCATACGAGACTTACAAAAAAATGCATCATTTTTCATACTAAATTCAGTCTTCTACATTTTAATAAAACCAAACAAAATATAAAAGTAATAATATACATATTTTAAAATTTTAATATTATTAAATGTACAATATAATTTTAATCAAATTAAAAATAATACATAATAATTATACATTTTATACTCAAAATACTTTTAAAAAAAATTAATAATATGAGGAGTGCATTGGACAAAATTTTGACATGGGCTATGGCATATGGCAGGGTGCAGGACATAAGAGGTGACAATCTCTTTGATGCTTGTCAGATCACAGAAATTCGGTCAAAAGAGAAGAAAATTTTCATCTCAAGTGTTAACTATTAAAAAAACAAGCTATTCATTTTCATTTTTATTTTTGCCAAGGCCTAATATTTTTTATTGTTTCATCACATTATTTATTTTATTTTTTTAATTTCTTTCATGCTTCACTCAAATTATAACCTTTTGAATATATGGACAAATCATTTTCGTAAATTTCACCTTATTGATTGAGGTAGCTTAAAACTTTTCTACTGGCATTAGTAACTACTTGTATTTAAATTTTTTATAGTAAATTTAAGTACTTAAAAATAATAAATTTTATTAAAAATATATTTACTATAGAAATTATATAAGTATAATAAATATTTTTTAAATAAATTTTTATTTGTTCCTTAAACTTAATTTTAATGGTTAAAGTTAATAATTTTGTTTATTTTCAAAAACCGTTTGTTTTTCACTTTGTCTTATCCTTGCTTTTTTTTTTCTTTTTGATATCTTAGATTTAATTTATCTAATTGCTTAAATATATAATATCAGTGCTAATCTTGACACTTACTTCTTACTATTTGAATATATTAGACCATAGTTGGATGTTGCATTCCATAACGCAAATATAATTATTGTTTTAATAATTACAACTTTTTTTTTAAGAATATGTATTGTATTATTTGACATTAAATCATCCTATTGTTAAGAATAGGATTGAACTAACTATGGTTTCACTCATTCACATGGTGTTTTAGGTGATTCGTTAAGCAACGATGTTTTCTTAACATAACGTTTAGGATGCTAAACTAAAGTAAGATGCTTTAGGAATAGTAATTTTAAAGAAGAGAGAAATTTTGTCTAAGTTGTGAAGTAAACTTTCTCACATTATGAAATTCTATATATCTTTCCCCCCTCCAATCAAGTTGCAATATCTTACGATGGTAGATGCAAAAACTTCTATAATAACATCCGATTAAACTACAATATCATGTGCTAAATAATATTTAATAGTTTAATAAGTAATTTTTTATTTAAAATTACTATTTAATATTATTAAAGTACTGTATTATGTAATATCTTAAAATTTTAAACAAAAATTTATTACATATAGATTTTTATTATATGTCTTTAAATACATGTTAAAAAAATCGTTTAATCAAATGCTTCGTTGATTAAATTATGAGCAACAATCCATCCTTCTTATCACTGAGATTTGTGACTCATGTTTATGAGCTCAGAGAATGCCTTCTGTTCTGATTCATACCTCTTCTTGGATATCCTAAAACCAAATTCTTGTCTCTTATAAACACACACACACACACATATATGACATGAGAAACAAATGAAGTTCTATTAAACAAGAGCAAGTAAACAAATTGGATTTCATTTACATTTGTAATCTTTAATTAGCAATTCATTTTTATAATATCATTGCAATTCTAACTGAAGCTTATGATCCGTCTTGATCTAAAAATGAGACAGTCTTCTCCCCCAAACTTCTATTCATCCAAAGAAAAGTCTGCATATTTAATAAGGAATTTAAATAGTCTAGAATTGAAAAAAAATACGATGGTGATTAAACTTATCACTCACGCCTAAAAGGCCATGTGAATGGCTGAGATCTACCCCATCTCTTATTTTAGCCGATTCACTAGAATAATCACTAATCTACTTAGTCATCGATTAAATAAATAATTTAAAAAAATTAATGATGTGAATAATAATTATTACCACGACATAATAATTATAAAATATTATGACTATAAATCCCGAACTTTATGTTAATATTTTATCGGAATTCTATTCTCATAACAAGATAATCCAGAAGAGCTGATGTGATCATTTTCATGAAAAATAATTTATTTTTTTCAAAAAGATATACATCGAATAATATAAGACGGACCATATTTAATACTTTGATATTCCTTAAACACAAGACTTAAAATTTGCAAAAAGAATGTTATGAGAAAACCATTTTTAAATTCAATTTCTTTGAAAAATGGAAAACTAAATCAGAAGGTTAACTATGAAACCCTTTGAAAACTAAAAGAATTTAATTTGATTGATTTTTATTAAAGCAGTTCTAAAACCAATGTGGAAAAGAGTAGGATATGTTACGATCAAAGCAAGCACTCTCCATTCCAAAATAGTGAACATTCTTCAAATTTTTCATTCAAATTTTTATTGCGAAAAAAGAGAGAGTAGCATTTGAGCAATTATATCTTCTACCGACATTAGCGGATAACTTTCCTTAAATTGAGCAGCCGCTATCAAAGCCTACACATTCTATACACTAGAGAGGGGCCCCACGTTTAATTTTCTCCTTTGGCTTTGCAAACCAAAAAGAGGTCCACATCTACATCATTAAACATTAGCATGTTGCCTTTGGTTATAGTAATTTTGCATTGGATTTTGGAAAATGTTGGGTGTTTACACCTGAAAATAGAAAGGCATAAAATAATATATATATATATATATATATAATAAAAGAAAAATAAATTATTAAATATATAGGATACTGTTTACTTATTTATAAATGAGAGACATTGAATTTTAAGATTTCCAAGTTCTTTGTAAGTCCAAGACATACCGTGTCGACGATTTAAGTGCCTCGAAAACTGCGAATACCACTCTGACATAAATGAAAATCTCAAACAAGATACCCTATGGCCCACTTCATTCCAACGTGGGACAGTATCATCCACATGTTAGTTGTTAGTCACAACATATGTGACAAAATTAGTTACCTCTTTTCTTTGTTTTACAGTCCAATTTTTTTTTTTTATAGAAATGGCAATGAATGAATAGTAAGAGGCAAAAAGAAAAGGAAAGGTTTGAAGAGGGGACAGTAATGGTGGAGTGGACTGACACTTTGTTTAGGGTTCCTTCCTTCTTTTGTGAAAAGAAAAACAAAATGTGAAAAGGTGAAGAAACTACACATTCCCCTCTCTGTCCTTTTCTCAATTTTGGGAACTTCAATTTCCCCTCAGAGGGCCATTCAATTCAACATTTTTCTCAATTAAACCTCTTTCTTTGTGCCTATTTCTAGGTAAGAGTAACTACCCAGCACTCACATTCACATGCACGCTCACACTCATGCTCAATGTTATGTTCCGGGTCTTATGGGCTTAGTCACTAGTGTCTCATTTTGGGGTCAGATATAAATGGGGTTCTGAGTTAACTGAGAAAATTTCCTACTTTGACACCGTTCAGCTCTTAACTACTTTTTTTCTTCTAGGCTAGCCATGGAAGTTATCCAGATAGAACAAGTCTGCATCTTATTCTGTTTTGGTCTATTTGTAACATTGGGTTATGGTGCTACAGACCCAAATGATGTCAAAGTTTTGAATGATTTCAGAAAAGGGTTGGAAAATCCAGATCTTCTGAAATGGCCAGAGAATGGAGATGATCCCTGTGGGCCTCCTTCATGGCCTTATGTGTACTGTTCTGGAGATAGAGTGAATCAGATTCAGGCTAAGAATCTGGGTCTTAGAGGATCATTGCCTCAAAACTTTAACCAGCTCTCAGAACTCTACAATTTGGGTCTTCAACGCAATAACCTTAGTGGGATGTTGCCTACTTTTAGTGGCTTATCAAAATTGGAATTTGCTTTCTTGGATTACAATGCATTTGATGCAATCCCATCTGATTTCTTTGATGGACTCACCAGCATTAGGGTCTTGTCTTTGGAAGAAAATCCACTGAATGCAAGTAGTGGGTGGTTGTTTCCTAAGGATTTAGAGAAATCAGTGCAATTAACCAACCTTTCTCTGGTGCAATGTAATTTGGTTGGACCATTGCCTGATTTTGTAGGCACATTGCCATCCCTCACAAATCTAAGGCTTTCAGGTAACGAGCTAGCTGGTGCCATTCCAGCAACTTTTGCTCAATCATCCATCCAGGTTTTGTGGTTGAATGATCAACAAGGTGGTGGGTTGACTGGTCCTATTGATGTTATTGCTTCAATGATTTTCCTAAGACAGCTTTGGCTACATGGAAACCAGTTCACTGGGACAATTCCAAGGGACATTGGTAATCTTACTTCCCTGCAGGAACTCAACCTCAATAGCAACCAGCTTGTTGGCTTGATTCCTGAGTCTCTTGCACATATGAACCTTGACATCCTTGTGTTGAACAATAACAAGCTAATGGGTCCAATACCAGAGTTTAAGGCTGCCAATTTTTCTTATGACAACAATTTCTTTTGTCAAACTAAGCCGGGGCTTGAATGTGCCCCTGAGGTTACTACACTGTTGGATTTTCTGGATAAGCTGAATTACCCATCATTTCTCATTTCTGATTGGTCTGGTAATGAACCATGCAGAGCCAGCACAGGGACATGGTTTGGATTGAGCTGCAATTCCAATTCGGAGGTATCTATAATCAATCTTCCTAGACACAAGCTAAATGGTACTCTAAGTCCCTCACTTGCTAGCTTAGATTCACTCCTTGAAATTAGGCTTGCTGGAAACAATATAACTGGCATAGTTCCCGGTGAGTTTAGTGAATTAAAATCTTTGAGGTTGTTAGATTTAAGTGATAACAATCTTGAGCCTCCATTGCCAAAATTTCATAACGATGTGAAGTTTGTTATTGTGGGTAATCCTCTTCTTCCAAATCAAACTGGAGAGAGTCCAACACCTAGTCCAATACCTATTAGAAGCCCACCTTCACCACAGAACCCATCACGTCCTCCATCTTCTCATAAGCCACTTGTTCCAAGTCAGAATTCAAGATCAAATCAATCCAATTCCAAACCAAATGGCTTCAAAAGGTTCAAAACAGTAGCAGTAGTGGCTGGAGTCGCAGTGTTTGCTGTTATAGCTCTTTTGGTTGTTTATCTCCTCCTATGTTGCAGGAAGAACCAAAAAGCCTCATTGGATGCTCCAAGTTCCATTGTGGTTCACCCTCGAGATCCATCTGATCCAGATAATGTGATTAAAATTGCAGTTTCAAATAACAACACTGGAAGCTTATCAACGAAGACTGGGACAAGTTCTCTGAGTAACATTAGTGGTGAAACTCAAAACTCTCACATGCTTGAGGCTGGTAACCTTGTCATCTCTGTACAAGTACTACGCAAGGTTACCGATAATTTTTGTTCGGAAAATGAGCTAGGACGGGGTGGGTTTGGAACTGTTTACAAGGGAGAATTAGAAGACGGGACAAAAATAGCAGTGAAGAGAATGGAGCATGGTGTTATAAGCAGTAAGGCACAGGAGGAGTTTCAAGCTGAAATAGCTGTTCTTTCAAAGGTTCGTCATCGACATTTGGTATCCTTGTTGGGATATTCGGTTGAAGGCAATGAAAGACTTCTGGTTTATGAATATATGCCTCTTGGTGCTCTAAGTCAGCATCTTTTTCATTGGAAAAGCTTGAAATTGGAGCCTTTGTCTTGGTCACAGAGGCTGGCAATAGCACTAGATGTTGCTAGAGGGATTGAATACCTTCATAGCCTTGCCCGCCAAACCTTTATCCACCGAGACCTCAAGTCTTCTAACATTCTGTTGGGTGATGATTTTCGGGCAGAAGTTTCAGATTTTGGTTTGGTGAAGCTTGCACCAGATGGTGAGAAGTCTGTAGTAACCAAGCTTGCTGGGACATTTGGATACCTTGCCCCTGAATATGCAGGTATGGCCTTGCTTAAAAAAATCTGTTCCTCCAAGCCATCTCATAATTGTAGAAATTGAGCATTGACTGTGGTTTGGCGCAATTGAGAATGGAAAAACTATACTATCTCTGCATATCAGCACATAGTTTCTGTTGTTTGCTAGTTTATATCCAGTTACATTGTAATTACTTTTTGTGTTTGTTTTTGAAAAACCATAATTGAAATAGAAAATGATATCGAATTACAAGACAAGTTCAATGTTTCAAAATTTGTTAGCAATATGATCTTTGTATCCCTTATCTAATAGTTCAGCTCAGACCATTGCATCATTCTCATAAGACATAAATGTGTGATGTCTCAGCATCTCTCAGTTAGATGCTCCTAGCTTTGCATACTGAGTAAGCTTTTGTGTGCTTCAGTGATGGGGAAAATCACCACAAAGGTTGATGTGTTCAGCTACGGTGTGGTATTGATGGAACTTCTGACTGGACTAATGGCACTTGATGAGAGCCGGCCTGAGGAAAGCAGGTACTTGGCTGAATGGTTTTGGCAAATTAAAGTAAGCAAAGAGAAGCTCATGGCTGCCATTGATCCAGCTCTGGAAGCAACTGAAGAGACTTTTGAGACCATAACAATTGTAGCTGAACTTGCTGGACATTGCACTGCAAGAGAAGCACACCATAGGCCAGATATGAGTCATGCAGTCAATGTTTTGGCAGCATTAGTGGAAAAATGGCGACCGGTTAATGATGAATTAGATTACTACTCTGGCATTGATTACACACAACCACTTCCTCAAATGTTGAAAATTTGGAAGGAAGCTGAAAGCAAAGAGTTTAGCTATGATGGTACTAGTCTTGAAGATAGTAGAAGCAGTATTGCAGCAAGGCCTATTGGTTTTGCAGACTCCTTTACTTCTGCTGATGCTCGATGATTTTGAGGTAACTTTGGTGCAATTTATGGGACCTGTTGCTGTGTCCTCAATAAAATTCACTTGGATTCTCACCATGTCAGCTAAGAGGCAAAAATTATTTCCCTCGAGTCTTTTTATTATGTTTTTGGACATTAAAATACTTCCAAAGTACCATACGAAGATGTAGATAAATATTATTTTCTTTCCTTCTCTTTTTGTGGCCTTGTATACAGAAAAAACAATTTCTATTTGATAGTGATGAGTCTGCGTGACAACTCATTCATAAAGATAACTATATTGTTCTCGTGTTATGCATGTTGTAGGAGGTTGATTATAGTATTGAAAATGCCTGGGAGTAACGTAGCCCGCGTATTAGAAGTGTAAAACCAAAATGATTTTGAAGCATATCAAGTGCTTTTTGTTCTGATCATTTCAGTTGGACCCACCATATTGAAGATTTTGTTCTGCCGCAAAACAGCAAGACCATGTATGGCCACATGGTGATGTCATCTAATGCCATGGGATAAATGTTACGTATTACCCAGAAACTTCCATGTTCTTTTGCTGTAATCAAGGATGAAGTAAGTTAGGTGTTTGCAAGGTTGGACCCATATATTCATTACTTTAAGGTTATGGAGTTATATTGTCATATTCATTTTAAGACTTGTTACTTAATACTCTCTAATTAAACAATGATATTAGAATGTAGTCGATTTAAGTGACTAACTCACACAAGTAAATCATACATATGACAAGTACACCTTAAAAAAAATGATGATACTAGATGATTCATGTGTAAAGTGCACCGTAGAGAAAAAAATGACAAGAAATGATACATGTATAAAGTGTTGTTAAGTAGTATCATTCTTATAAGATTATTTAGGCTTATTTAATAAATATTTTTAGTTTAATTTATAAAAATAAGTTTTTCTAGTTTATTTTAGTAAATAGCATGTAATTAATTCTTATACGATAAAGGTATAATGAATAAGTTATTAATTAAATTATTTACTTAAATATATTTTTTTTATGATATTTTTTCATGTTAGATGAAATTTTGATAGAAATAAAATTAAAGTGATTGAGACCTAAAATTTATTAGATTATTGATCTAGTGGGGACCTAAATGGAACTCGAATCGTAAGATAACTATAAGCATATTCTTATACTCTACTTTTGTCGTTTTTAACCCTCTGTAATGACTAATTAGTAGAATGGAGTGGAACAATTGGAAATGGGCTGAAAGGCTTGAGAATAATTATCTTTCTATTGGTTTCTAATATTAATAAGGAAACGGAACAGGACTTTATTGTTTTATTTCAAGCTAAATGTTAATGATGAAAATTTCTTTTCCTTCCTTTATGCTAATTTTAGAAAAATAAAAATTGTGTATATAAATGGTACAGAGATAATTTGATTCCCTTCTCGTTTATTTTGAAATTCCTATTGAGATTATTTCCCTTCCCTTTATTATCGTCAACAACGCATAACTTTAGTTGAAGTCATAGAAAACAAAAACATAAAAGGGAAAAGAATTTGAAAGACCAAACAAGAATTGGTCATGAAAGGGAAAACATGGGAGATTAATACTATATCTGATTAAGTGATTACAAACTTGATTTTGATCAAATTTAAATTTAAAATAAACTAATTTATAGTTTAAAAAATAATCTTAAAAACAAATTTATAGTAAAATTTAGTGTAAAATTTTCAGCAAAACATAAATTTTTTTTTTTTTCATTTTTACTCAAACATGTTTTTAGGAGTAAATTTGATTGACTCATTAATCAAACAACATTATTTTTTTTTCGAGAAAATCACATTGAATACCCCTAAATACTTGTTTGGAATTCTTTGCTGCAAGAACCAGACGTAGCAAACGACTCTCCAGCAGCCTTGATCCCCTTCATGTGGGAATGGATCCTCTTCAATGACATTCATCAGTGATAATTGAAATCAATAATTTATCCATTAAAATAATTAATTTATTAATAATTAAAAGTCAAATGTTTATACAGCACCATGTCAAGTGTTTTTTACAATATGGAAAATCTGCTCCCCTTCATGATAAATGTTCCTACAAATAAAACAGGAAATAGAAAGGAAAAATATTAGCAATATATTGTTTAGATAGTATAAATAAATATATTCCTTCTTAAGTTCTAATTGGAAGCGCAATCTGGAGAAGGATTTTGATGGTTCGAAGAATGATACTTCCAGCGTGCACAACTCCTCCAAAACCAGCTTGCCCAATTCCACTTCCAAATCAAACTCACTCTACATTTTCTCCCACAAAACCCAACACAAGCCAAAGCCTCTCCCTGAGACACATCGACCCCACTGTAGGATGGACATATTCCATTGCTCACCACTGTCGAAGTGGCCATTTGGTTGAAGCTGCTTCCGAGTTCGTGCGAATGAGAGAAGCTGGTGTTGAACCCAATCACATCACTCTCATCACGCTCCTCTCTGCTTGCGCTCACTCCCCCTCACACGCTACTATCTCCTTTGGGGCCACCATTCATGCACACGCTCGAAAACTTGGCTTGGATAAGAACGTTATGGTGGGCACTGCCCTGGTTGACATGTACGCTAAATGTGGTCGTGTGGGCTCCGCTAGGTTGGCATTCGATCACATGGGTGTCAGAAATTTGGTGTCTTGGAACACTATGATTGATGGGTATATGAGGAATGGGGAGATTAAGGATGCTCTCCAAGTGTTTGATGAATTGCCTGTGAAGAATGCAATTTCTTGGACTGCGCTGATTGGTGGGTTTGTGAAGAAAGATTATCACGAGGAAGCTTTAGAGTGCTTTCGAGAAATGCAGCTTGCTGGTGTGGCCCCTGATTATGTAACCGTTATTGCTGTTCTTGCAGCGTGTGCCAACTTGGGCACACTTGTACTTGGCATGTGGGTACACCGTCTTGTGATGGCTCAAGATTTCAGGAACAATGTTAGAGTTTGCAATTCATTGATAGATATGTATTCTCGATGTGGATGCATAGAGCTTGCTCATCAAGTGTTTGACAGAATGCCCCAGCGAACCGTGGTATCGTGGAACTCGATCGTTGTGGGTTTTGCTGTTAATGGGCTTGCAGATGAGGCCCTGAATTTCTTCAATTCAATGCAGAAGGAAGGGTTCGAGCCAGATGGAGTAAGCTACACAGGTGCTCTCACCGCGTGCAGTCATGCTGGACTAATTGACGAGGGACTCAGAATCTTTGATAAGATGAAGAGAGTTCGTAGAATTGTGCCTAGAATTGAGCATTATGGTTGCCTAGTGGATCTCTATAGTAGAGCGGGGAGGTTGGAGGATGCATTGGATGTAATTAAGAATATGCCCATGAAGCCAAATAAAGTGGTGTTGGGGTCATTGCTTGCTGCTTGTAGGACTCAAGGGGAAGTTGAGTTGGCTGAAAATGTAACGAATTATCTTATTGAATTGCATCCTGAGGGAGAGTCCATTTATGTTCTTCTTTCTAATATATACGCGGCGGTTGGAAAGTGGGATGGTGCAAACAAGGTTAGGAGAAGAATGAAGGACCGTGGCATACAAAAGAAACCAGGCTTTAGTTCCATTGAGATTGATTCCAGCATTCACAAATTCGTGGCTGGCGATAAATCTCACGAGGAGAACGACTGTATTTACTCTGTACTGGGGCTTCTGTCCTTTGAACTGCAATTATGTGGCTATGTTCCCGATTCCTCTGGAAAAGAATCATATGAGGATGGTTAAATTTTGTAAATTGAGTTGTACACGTTGTACAATAACACAACCCGTTAACAGACCTAACAATAGTCCAGTTCAGGAAAGTAATTGATTGTACGAATGCACAAGATGATTGCTATGTTAACTCTGAGCTTAGAAGGGTTTGGATACCTTTTTTACTTGGTTCCAGGCCCGTTTCTGATTTTTTTTAGCCCTAGGCAAAATATTAAATTGGGGCCTTTCAAAAAAAATTATATGACATAATACAACAAAATAAAAGCATAATTCTATTAAAATAATATGTTTTTTAAGTAAATAGAATTTTTTTCTAATAAAATTACAAAAAAAAATCCATTCAAATTTTTTTTTAACTCTTTTCTTTTTTTTCTTTTTTCACTTCCAGATAAATGCTTTTTAGGTAACATTGCATATAAAAGATAAATAAGACAATACAATCATAAAACAAGGGAAAAAGAACAATAGCACCTGGTAAAAGAATTTAACTTAAATGTTTGCTTTCACATATGCAAATTTCACAAGCATAATTCAGTCCCTAGGAATCTGAAAATATAATTATGATAATCAATTAGGGAATAAGATGATAATCAAAGGCATAACGACATATTGTAGACTTGCAGACTATAATTATAATTCATATGCAACATGCTATATATAATATATAATATACTATATTTCATAAAGGCATAACTTGAAAACCACAATGCAAAGGATTATAGTAAATTAAATCTCCTAATTAATGTGATGATTATTCCTAATTACAGCAGTCGCTAGTTTTGGATGCTAAACAGCTCCAGGAAACTCACAAATATTACACATTCAATCATGGCATTGCAACCAGCACAAATTCTGCAATAAAACACAGCTGTAACAAGAGTCAGGAAATGGAACATAATTAATAAACCAAAAGAAAAATAAAAATGGCGCTCCTTATTCATAATATAAATATTCCTACTAAAGCATTTATATAAATAGCGAATTAATCACCTTCCAAACGCGAAACGCCTAACTGGATTTGAATTGCAGAATAGCTCTTTTAGCTCCCTTACTTTTCCCACTAAAAAGAAAAGCAAAGATGTCTTTGAAACAAATGTGGGTAAGTGGGTTATCTATACATAGTAAATAACAAAATCAATTTTTTAGGTAAACGGTTTTTTTAACATTTGCCGAATAAGGATTGAGAAACAGGGAGGAAGAAAGAAAAAAGAAAGAAAAGTGAGGAGGAAAGAACTACCTGCAACAATGGTGGATTTTGTCTTTTTGATTATGATAAAATACAGAATTGCACACACACTGTTAAAAGGTCTGGAGAAGTTGAAGAAGTAATTACGTTTTTAGCAAACAAAGTGTGATTGTGTGAGAAATTGAAAAGTCTTCTTTATTTTTTTTATTTTTTCAACTGCAAATTACAAGTATTATAATTTTTATTTTGGGCTCTTTTTAGGTCTGGGCCCTTGGCGATCGCACTCTCAGCCTACCCTCAGAACCGTGTCTGCTTGGTTCAATATTTATTTGACACTTTTATAAAATTTAACCCTATCATTATCCTTAATTTGTTCTAATAATAAGGGTTTAATTAGTCAATTTTCCTGTATGATCCTCAAGAACACAAGGATATCCAACTTTTCGTGCATCTCTGGTTTATTTGTTGAGAACAGAATTCATGCAGTGTTGATGTTCCATGTAAACGTTGTAAGCTAGACTTTGACCACGTGCCTTTATGACATAGGAATTGAGAATAGATCCGAAATGCCAAACTTTCTATTCAAAAGGTTTTGAATTTAATTGTTGTTGGTATCGTCGTCAGGATCCTTTAATTTGAATTTATTTGTTCGGTAAATAAATCTTAAAAACTGTAGAGTATACTCTAACATGTGAAAGTCCTTTAATCTGAAAAAAAAAAAGTGTAACGTTGAGTTTTAATGTAATGATACTTCGAGCAAAATATTCTAGTATCCTTAAACGGTTGTTTATGCAACTAAATTGTTTCTCATGTTGTGGCAAATAAATTTGGAAAAGATATGATATATTGGTTATGGCGTCCCAGATTTTATCCCCAAAAGAATAAAGATATAAAAGGATGAAAACAAGTATGATCATGGAAGACATACATGAACATGCTTATCCTTCAGCGCATGCTTTGCTCGTCCCATGAACAAAAAAATACCCTATAGGATAAATTCAAATTGAAGATGCAACACTCAGTTCCCTCCCAAACACTCTCTCTGCAACCCTCTCAGCCACCTCGACCTTCCCATGAGTTTTACATGCCCCTAACAAAGCACCCCACAAAGCTTCATCTGGCCTAACCTCCATTCTCAAAATTAACTTCTCAGCTTCCTCCACCTGGCCAACCCTCCCCAAAATATCCACCATACACGTGTAATGTTGCCGCCCAGGTTTCACCCCAAACCTCCCCTCCATCATCTCAAAATACTCCCTCCCTTTATCTACAAAACCCCCATGACTACATGCACTCAAAACCGTTGTAAAAGTAATTTCATCTGGCCTTTCTCCAGCCTCCACCATTCTATCAAAACATTCAAATACCTCCCCAAACGCCCCATGCATTCCGTAACCCGCCATCATCGTTGACCACGTAATCACATTCCTTTTCCACATTCTATCAAACACCTTGCGTGCACTAACTAAATATCCACATTTCACATACATATTTATCAAAGCATTCGAATTTGCCAAATCTAAGCCAAACCCATTGACAAAAACAGCTCCATGGACTTGTTGCCCAAACCGCAGAGCCAATAACCCAGCGCAAGATTTCAGCACCACAGGTAAAGTGTAACGATCAAAGGGTTTGTACGCAAGAAGCATCTGGCGAAAGAGAGAGAGGGATTGGGAGAACAAGTTGAGAGAGGAATAGGCTCTGATCAGAGAGTTGAATAGAAAAGTCGATTTTCGAACGGTGAATGAGAAGATGGTATTAGCTTCGTGTAATTGGGCACAGGAGGCGTAGGAAGATACAAGCTTGCTTCCAATGAAGTCATAGCGTGAAACGCCTAAGACGATGGTGCGCGCGTGGATTCGCTTTAGATTCTTCAAGTTCTTCGAGGAAGAGCAAGCGTCGAGAAGAGTAGCGTAGAATGGCACGAGTTGGTGAGGTTTAGCCATAGCCTTAACATCAAACCATACACAAAACAGTGACTCGTGTACTTAATAATATTTGCCTCCTTAAACTTGATGTGTAAATTAATAATATTTAGTATTCACGGGAATATAAGAATAAGAAAATGCACCCTTTTAGAAATCCTTAAAAATATGCGCCTTTGTTAATCAAGGAATATTTTGCCAAAATTGGTTATGGGTTACAGTAATTATTTTGTTTTGTACAATATATTTGGGTATTTTCTACAAAATGGAAATGATTCACTTGCGTCACTCTAGTGACATTGCTGTCATGTCTAACTGGTAAACGTCATATGAATAAAAGCTCAAGGTTAGTTATTACAGAAAAGAATATCTGCAGATACATATTTTTGTAGTATTCGGGTTAATGGAGCCAAAGCACGTCATGTCACCATTGTTTCTGTCTAATCCATGAATGAGCTGTACGCACAATATTTTAGCAGAAAATAAAAAATGCCAAATTCAATTAATTCAAATTTGCTTTTGCATTTATAACCAAAATATTTGCCTTTGCTTAACAAGATTTGATTCCAACGTTTGCGCTTAAATACTGCTTAATTAAAATTAAGAAGTACAGAAACTAGCTAACATATATCTAGTACAAGTCAAAACTAGAGTACTAAACTTAAAAACTTGCTACAAGTACGTAGATATATGTTTACACTCATAACAAATACAAGGCCAAGTACATAGAAACAGGTTCCATGGGTAAGTTTAAGGGGTTTGAGGCTTCTTGGGGTTTCCACCGTTATGATGCAGCGGGTCTGGACCCGAAGGAACCTTCCTCAACTCCCAACTCAGTGACTTTTCACCACCATACTTGAAGCTAGATGATCCTTGAAGACTAACATTCAAAGTAGTTTTCTTATCCTTCAAAGCAGACAACATCTGCACAAGCAGATAGAATTTAAGAAACTACAATTAATTTCCTATACCCCAGATACCACAAAGTATATGAAATCAACAAAAACTAGAAAAAGATACACATCTTTCTCATTCATGATCATATAAAAATTAGGTCACTGCTTTGAAGTTTGAACTATGTACTGCATATGTTGTATACTTGTGTGTATGTCAGAAAGTTTTGTGAGAGTGACACACCTTCCTATTTCGAATCTTCTTAAGATCAACTGCATTAGCACCAATGCATTCATACGATACACTGCAGTCTGCCAGTAAATAAACAAGTTATGAATGCTTATATATATATATATACAAACTCTAGCAACTTATATGAAGAAAAAACAATACACAATCTGTCCATTGTCATTCACATTATAATAAATAGAAAAAAGAACATTGACAAACCAGAAGAGTCCCTCATAAGAAGCAAGCACAACAAAAGCATGAGCAAAACAACAGAGGTAAAGATCAATTTAGACCCCATTGGAGAAACTTAAATTATCAAGGTAGGAAAGAGTGCAACACAAGTGTTATGAAGTGAAGAAGGAAATGGTAATCCACAAATTTATAGAGGTGTGATTGAAGTATATGAATGATGGCTCATGCAGCCATTTTATAATGAAATGATTAAAGAGACTAATGGTGAAGATTTAATTATTGCAAAAAACATGTGATTACCACAGCTTTCAATGTGACAGCGCCGTCTTATGTATCTGTGGAGGCACCTGAAAATCAACTGGCAGGTGCCAAAGCAAATCTGCATCCAATATGTGAACTAAAATGGATATGCTTTCGATCATATTTTGATTCCAACCTCAAATGACAGCATCAACGTCATGCATGTTTCCCTTCTCAGTCTCTACAACTCTTTGGGATGTGGCCCTCCCATATCTAATTCTTCCTGCTGCACAATCTCCCTACAACCACACACTTTTCTTTATTATTATTTACACACTTTAATATTACGTTTACGTTATTAAAATAGTTCATTTTGTATTTCAGATGTTTTTATTAAAAAAATTTAATTTTCCTAATATTATATAAAATATTAAAAGAATAACACGTCTATTTATAAAAAAAAAGTATAATCATTTTTCTTAAATTATAAAAAATATATATTGAATTTTTTAATTATTATATTTATTTTCTAAACTACATGGATCTTTCGTTTAATTGAAAGAGCCAGTTTGAATTGAATCAAATTAAATGAGAAATGATTATAAATGACGATGCTAATTAATTTATCCATTAAATTTTATTATTAAATTCTGTATAATATTTATTTTAATAAAATACTTATTAATTATTTATATAATTAAATTTATTTATTTATTTAATATTATATTTTAAACTAATTTTAATATTTAGAGTTGAATTTAAGTACTCAAGTGTAGTAAAATTTTATCCCAAAATAACACGTTTATTATGTTAAAGTTATAAATATGTGGATTATATTTTTTTAATAATAAATTATTATTATTATTAATTATTAAATTTAATTCTAATAGCTGAGATTAAATTTTTTATTGATTATTTATTTTTAACAAATAAAATCGTATTAGATGGAGTATAAGCTAAATTCAGCTGACTTATACATAGGTTTTGCGTTTGAATCCCTTCAAATGGAAGTTGAGAACAAAGTTTATATGTCCCATGTGATGAAAACGATTAAACAAACACGGTATAGAGATCGTTTAAAGTAAAACTATAATGTACACCAGTGGCTAAGAAATTAATTTATAAGAGTAAAATGTTTATAAAATTAAAATCATATTTGATATAATAATCAGATTTTGTTAAAAAGAATATAATGTAATTTTAATGATATAAATACTTGTCATGAATATTTTTATGGTAATCATAATCGATTATAAAGTTTATTATTTATATTTTAAAAAATGCATCGCTCTCTTTTAAAGTTTGCGTTTTAATTATTTTTCTACTACAGAATGCACATCATGTCTGTTATTGGACCAATGTGTACTATGCACAGAAATCTAACGATGATTCATATAGAAACATTCTTTAACTCGCGACAAAGTACACCTACTTTGTTATTGAATCACTACATCAAAGTTTAATAGTTGAAAATGGTGTCTATGCTTTAAAAGATAAAAAAAAAAAAGGTAATATAATGAGAAAGAAATTTTAAAACAAACAATATTAAACGGATATTGACATATTGTATTGTTTAACTTATTTTTTTAGCCATTTGGAGATGAGAATAGTTAAGACAATTCATTATACTCAAAGATTGACTTACATAATAATATCGTCAATTATTTGAATGAATAAAAATCCTCCCCTGTAGACATGAAATGGGAGGAGAAAGGAAACTTCAATTTTCGTTTTTTGATGTAAATGTTCACAAAAATAAAGCTTTTTTTATGAAAAAATTTAAAATAAGTTTATATAAAAAATAATATAATAAAAGGAAAAGAATTTTAGCTAGTTAAATTATATAAAATAATATATTATTTCCTGATTCTTTTTTATTTAAACAATGTATTATTTGGTTTTTTTATCTCTAATATTCTTATTTAATGTTAAAGAGAACATTGGACTTTTATTGTTACTGCTAGGTGTGACAGTAGTTTAAGGTAAAAGAAGTGATGATTGGTGGTAGCATAAGTGAGTATGTAGAAACAGGGTGGCAAGTAACAACATTTCATTTTCATTTTTGGTTTTGAATTCATCGTCTCTATCCAAAGACACCATCAGTCTACAAAATGTTGAAAAGATGAAATGACCGCTTGATGTAGTTCGCGGTATCTTTGGCACCAAAGCCAGATTTTCGTCGCATTTGCAGTAATAAGACATTTTTAAGATAGACATCATCTCTGTCTTTGGACGAAAAGATACAAAATCAGAGTACAAACTTTTTTTTAAAATATTTAAAAATAAAACAGATTAATAACATGGACTTACGGTCAAATTAAAGTATTTAATATAATTATATTTGTTGAAAGTCAGATTAAATATCATAAGTTAAGTTAACCAATTAATCTCATGTCGAGCATTAACAATTGACGTGCACCTTCAGCGTTCTCCCTAAATATTGAGCTAATGCTATATTCTACAAATAAAATATTTATTTCAGTTTTTATATAGTTTATCATAAAAATACGCTACAAATGTTAAAAAGACATACTTAAGTATCTTTTTAGTGGTATAAATAACATTTTCCTTAGTTCTTAAACAATGAAATTACATCTGTGGTTAAGTCTCTTTAAGAAGAACATTTATAATTAATAATAAACAGTGGTAGAAATGGCACATCGCATGGATGAATATATTCCATTTTGAGGATGAGAACAAGTGGTTGATTAAAGGCAACGCTGAATTCCCCAGATTCCGTGCTCCGCTCCTCTGTCCTCTTTTTATTTATCTGCTTAATCTTTATTTTCCCTAATTTTACTGTTACTTATACTATTTGCAATTTTTATTTTTTTATTTTTTAAAAAGTTTAGTTTTATCCTCTTAATAACTTGTGTGCTTATATATATATATATATATATATATATATATATATATATATATATATATATATATTCCTTTGACCATTTACATGTTTTTCTAAATATAGATGAAAAAATACCACCTTCATGTTTGCTCACTCTGTCATATTTCCCTTGAAAAGAAACGTAAGAAGAAAAATATATGGTTGTGGTGTGAGATTATTGATTAACATAACTTATTAAACTTCCAAAAAAGTAAAAATACCAAACAAGGAAAAGAGAATGGCACAGAAAATAAACTCTCTTTTCTCCAATCAATTGTAGTTTACATAATCTTCTTTTTCTTTCATATTAACAATGTTCGTAAGATTATTTTACAAAATTAAAATAATATTGCAATTATATTAACCTATAAAATTAAATTAAATGTTGCTACCATTAGTTTTAAGGTCTAATTTTAAGTATTTAAAACTATATATTATTTTGAAAGAAATATTTATTAAATTAAAATTATAACTGGGAAAACAAAAAGTTGTTTTTTTTATAAAAAAATTCGTTTTTAATTATTAAAAGCAACCCAACTAATGTTAACAATGTTATAAAAATAATTTTTTCATTCTTAAAGTGATAAATTATTCACACCACTTCTATTAGTATAAATTTATGTAAAATATATATTAACACTTAATCACTTGAAATGCATTATTTCACAAATTTGATGAAAATTATTTAATTTTTAAATTTAAATAATTTTTTTTTTATATTTTAGTAAATTTTTAGTTTTAGTCCCTTTAAATGAATTTTTTGTCGTTGCAGTTTTACTTTTCAAAAATATTTTTGATCTCTAATGCTGACCTGGTCCATTAAAATATAGTTATATGTTAATTTTTTTGGACTAAAAATAAAAAATATTATTAGAAAATAAGGAGCAAAATAAAAAAATTATTTTAAAGAACTAAAATAAAAAAATTGTTAAAACGTGAGAACTAAATTCATATTTATTTATTTTATTTTAAGAACAATATTTTTTGTCGTATTTTTACAGACTAACTTGATAGTTATTTATAGTTTTAGAAGATAAAATAATTAATTTTAAAAACACTAAAACTTTTAATTTTAAAATTTAAGAGCTAAATCAAATGATATTTATAAATTTTTAATTAAATTGAATTGTATATATAATTTGAAAGACTAAAATGACTAATTTCATAATTTTAAATAATTTTATATACTAAATTGATAAATAATTATAACTTAAAAAATTTAAATAATGCATTGTTCAGATATTTTATAACTGAAAATAAAAATAATAAATACTTTCTTAAATGACAAATATCATATGATTTTGCATAAAGCACAGTATACCGATGGATATCATAAGGAAGACATTGGTCAATTAATTATCGTATTGATGAAGATTGACCAACCATGACAAATATGACCAATGTTAAAAAAATCTTAATATATTAATTAAATTTTTCTTAAACTAATTGAATAACATTAATCATTCTAAAAATATTAATTAATGTATTAATAATGGTCATTCCTTATTAATGTTTTCAATATGATAATTAATTGACTAGTTAGAAAACAAATTGATCATTTTCTTTTTGGTGTCCATTGGTATACTACGTTTATTGAAAATCTTATGATAAATGTAATTTAAGAAAATATATATTATTTTGACAATTTGTTTACTGTCTATTTAAAATTGCATAAGATAAATAAATATTTTTTAATTTTAAATTGTAATATTTAATATGATCAATACATTGAATTGAGTATTTAATAAAAAATTATTTTATTTTTTATTTATTTTGTACCTTTAAATATTCAATAAAAAATTATGTTCCCCTCAGGCTTCATATTTTAAGAATTTAAATATAATAAAACGTTAATAATCACAAGAATTTTTTTTTTTTTTTGAATTAGTCTCAAACTAAATTAGAGTATATGGTAATCCTATTCCAATTAGATAATAAACTCCAATTCATATTAAATTAAGGTATAACAATTTTATGTAAACTAATATAAATTAATCGGTGGTAATAAGGGTATAATTTTAAAATAGAAATTTATGTAAAAAATTTAACTGTAAAATATATAATTTTTTTTATCAAAACAAATTAAACAAATTTATAAATTATTTATAAAATTTTAAAAATAAACCTTTGATTATTATATAACTTACCGATTACGAAAGCTTACAAGAAAAAAAAAAAAACAGATAAATTAAACACAATTTTAAAATAGAAAAAGAAAGTCCAAAAAACCATTTATAAAAGCCAAAAATTAGAAGAAAAAAAAAATGAAAAGGGTTCACCACTTTACGCATAGAAAAAACCACCAAGCATTGTCGTTCTCTAGTTTTCTCCACATCACTCCACTGTCTTCTTCTTGTTTATCAACATCCAGTTGTTCCTTATGCAAGACCCTTCCAGACCCGCCACGGGCTACCCAGCCCAACCCTTCCACCACCCCAACGGCGGTCAACCACCGCCATCCGTCGCCGCATACCCTTACGCCGCTCCTCAGCCACAATACTACTATCCTCCTCCTCCGCGCTCCTCCTTCGCCTCTCGCTCCTTCTTCCGCGCCTTCTTCGCCACCATGATATGCCTCGCCGTCATCTTCGGCGTCATCCTCATCATCACATGGCTCGTCCTTCGCCCCTCTCTCCCCCACTTCACAATCCACACCCTCTCCCTCACTAACCTCTCCACCACCGCCCAATCCATTTCCGCCACGTGGCACATATCTTTCCTCGTCCGTAACGGCAACAAGAAAATGACCATCACCTATAACGCTCTCCGTTCCTCCGTTTTCTACCGCACTAACTACATCGCCGAGTCCCAGCTCGCGCCTTTGAAACAGGACACTAAGTCTGAAACCACTCTCAACGCCACACTTTCTGCTGCCAGCGCGTACCTTGAACCGCGCGTAGTTGACGCCCTCAATGGGGAAAGGTCGCGCGGTTCTGTTCTCTTCGACGTTCAGATTGTGGCCCCCACTTCGTTTCGCTCCGGTTCGTGGAGGTTCAGGACTCGAGTTCTCAAGGTTCTGTGCCGGAAAGTTCCCGTCGGCGTTTCGTCGAATGTTACTTCCGGCGAATTGGTCGGCGGAGACAGGGAATGCCAGGTGTGGACTTGAATTAAAGAATTCTGTTGCGGGTTCACCCGAATTTGCTTCCGGGTGCCCGTTTTTTAAAACCCTAGGTTTGAAAAGGGAGGAAATTGATTTTATAAATCTATCTAGTTATTGATGCTTTCAATGGTTTTATATATATATATATCTATGCGAATTGCTTTAGGTTTGAATGGAATTTTGTTAGTTAGTCTATCACTGTATATATAATTTTTATAGCTTATTTTGTTTGCTTGCCTTTCGTTCTCCCTTGCTTCAATTTGGTTGAGGCTTGAAAGTCTTTGCCCGTGGAAACTTGCAACTGTGTGTTAATTGGAGAGAGGGAAAGAGGCAAAAAATAATATTTATTTGGATATCAGTGACCAAATGACTGCTCTGTTCTTCTAAATGTAGTACGGACATATACTATCCAGAAAAAGATGTTTCATATCAATTAATGAATTTTTTTATTCAAAAACATGATAAAAAAAAAAGGAATGCGGTTTTTGGAGTCATTAGAAAAAGATACAAATAACTATTGATTGATGCTGTTGTTAATGGTTTTTCTGGTGATGAAGTTTATTTGGATTACAACAAATCGTTCATGGGCTTCTTACTAAACTTCAATCTTATGAAGGGACTGATCCCAAGTAAATTGTTGTGTGTGGCCATCAATTGTCCTACTGATGGATAAATCCTAAATAGTTTCACTTTGATAGTTGAAAATATTCAAGTATGATGAGATAGCCTCTTCTATTTATGCATAATCTTTGGACCCAGATCCCAAAAGCTTCACGGTTTTATTATCGAGCAGGCAGATTTTGTACGTGTTGTTCAATTGGCAACATGACTGCATCTAATATTCCGTGAATTAATGGCTATATTGGGTCTTTGCCAATTTTGACTTGAGGTGTCTGTTGCTATGGAATGCATAACAGCCCATCTGTCAGATCACTCATCTATAATTGTGCAAAAGAAACTTGTTGTCGATTTATAGTTCTGGTTTTGGCTGTACCTTGATACTCTTCCAAGTGGGGGTTGATGAAATTATGACAAAATCAGTTTATCTTAGCAATTTATTCTGTAAGAAACAAAATTTGGGTTCCTTCTTTTTTTATTACATTTTATGCCGTGAACATATATGTTAACACAAAATAAAAACAGATGATATTCATGAAAGAAATCCTAGCAAAGCATTGATGATGTCAATAGTTGTTCCTGACTTACTGGATAGCTATCAGTTTTCTGAAGTCTAGAAAGGTGCTTGAATTGACATGGATGTAGGTCTTGAATTGTCTTTTCACTAGGCTGGTTGAGAGTGGTACATTCTGGTGGCCATTGGAATGTCAGTGGAGTCTGTTTGGGATCTGTGTTGGCTTTGGTAAGTACCATAGACGGATTCATTAACCTGTTGATGTTGACATTTATCTTAAGGGATGTCTGTCACTTGTGTCTGTTGGCTTTTATTGGTTGAGTACTAATTCCTGGCTTGCTGTTAATTTGGAGATTGGAGAGTCATGATTGTTGCAAAATCAGAAATTTCCGTCATTGAATTTTACCATGTCAACAATAAGTCAGTTTTTTACGATGAATGTTGGAGAGTTGGGTTTTTGTGTATGTATCAGTTATCTGCTGCATGACCATATGTTTGGAATATAGATTAGGATGTGATCTTTGTGAAAAAACCATGTGTACTTCTAACTTTCTCAAAGGATTAATTCTTTTTAACATTTCATGTGTATCACTGAGGCAAGCATTGGTGTGATTGTGGAAAATCTTCCTGGAGTTCTAGTTTATTTTTTTTCCACACATAAATATTGATTACCACGCTGATTTGATAGTTTGTGAAGGTGAATGCATTGTTCATGTAGCACAAAAGCCTGTAGATTACTCTTTTATTTTGAAAGAGGAGAAAGAGATGCTATTTGAAATTTGATTAATCTATTCACCATTGGATATTGTGATCAAGACTTGCATTGTCATTTGCCAAAGGTTTGATAGATGAAATGGTTTTATGATTAAAAATCTGGAAAGATTTTCTCTTTTTGAGTGCTCTCCTGAGACACTCATGCATATTGTCTGTCTACTGTTGTGTACAATGTAAGCAACACGGAAATGAACTGTTTGTGAGTAACATTTTAGGAAGTGGGGATCTGCTGCAAATAGCGAAGTGCTAAACCAGCCAATAGGTGGATCTCTCATTCATTTTTTTTAAAGGTTGGTAGAGTTTTCTTAGTGGCGGTTTAGCAATTCTGTTGTGCATACAATACATTTTTTATTTGTTGGGACAGGAGAGGCGTTTGACGCATTTGTGAACAGAAATAAATGCATAGGTCACATGTATGTACGCACGTACGTCTACATACATTAATTAATAGGTAAGATAGAAAATCAAAGAATTTTCCTTTTTTCTTCGTTTGGGTATATGTTTTTTGGGGCATTACATATGTGGGCATGTTGTTGGCGTCCATCATACCAACTCTTGAGACGAAACCTGTTTACTGATGTGTTAGTCGTTTGGTCGTTTTCTTTACAACGCATAATGATGAAACCTATTTCCTGCCTGGAGCTAAAAAAAGTCTGCGCCTGGGGTGAATTGTTTAATTTTTAAATTACGTTGTGATTCTTGTGAAAACCTATTTTCCGAAATCTGCCCCCTTGTTCTATCTTTTTTTTTTTTTAAAGGTTAACGAATGTCTTGCGGACGATAAAAGCTTTACAAGTGACATTTCAGACCCAAAAATAAAATAAGCTTTTCAATTAATTAAACTGGGGCTTCCATTTTCCCTCTCGGCCTCTTGGGAATTGGTCATGGTTCGGCAGTTGTCCGTTTCTACTTGTTATGTTCATCCACAGTGAAGAAAAATTTTGTACCTATTGGCCCTGGAAAATATCTGAGTGCAGAAATAGTTGTGCTCCAATTTTCATTTGTTGGGTGGGCAAGAAACTAAGAACAAGTTAGGATGAAATTTGACAAAGTCTTGGGGCAGGTAAAATCTTGGAAGACTGAAATGTTTGCCTCAGTGATAGCAAGTGGTGGTAGCAAGTGCTATTATGGAATTGGTTAAACCCAGAAGGAAGGAAAACTAAGTGTCTGTTTAGTCATAATAACCTAAAATCAATTTCTCTCAGCACAAAACACGTTTCAGTATGAAGTTTATGGTTGGCATTAATTTAGGCACATATTTTACTTATCTTTAACAGTTTAAAATTAATTTTACTAAATTTTAAATCAAACAAACACTAAGGAAACGGGTGAATGAAGACTGAAGAGGGCAGGATAAGCAGTAGAGAGGCGAAGGTAACCCAGTTTCAAAATGGACTAGTAGTAGTCTTCGGTTATTTATTCAGCGGGTATCGTTCGTCCTGTATTCAGCAGTGTAGCTAGTTTTGGTATGTTCCTACGGTGCAGGTTATGGATTGAAGTCAGTTCTCTCTTTCACTTACTTTTCCTCTCATTTTATTTTAGACAATTCGAATCTTTCATCAATAAAGTGATATCCTGTGATTGTTTTTACTTTATTCCTATATAGCTTATAAGTAGTGGTCGTTCCCGCTAATTTTTTCTTTATTTTATTTTTAATCTGGTGTTGTGTATATTAATTAAGATTTCTCACACACTGAGCCAAAACAGGGTTATTCCTACTAAGACCAGTCAAAGATTGTATAAATGTATCTTATGTGATTTCTGAGTAGGGTTGATTTCATGTTAGAATTCAGGGTTTTGTCAGGTATTCAGGGTTATCTTTGATCGTCTCTCTTTCTTTACTCCTGGTGTGTCTCTTTTTTGTCAAGTCTTACTCCAGGTGTTTGACCTTGATCGCTGATGCGTATGCACAGTGTAACAAGGTCCAAAGCTTAGCCCACAGATCAAATTTCTATAAGGAAACAAAATAATAAAGAGAGTAGGCATGTGGGCCCTTCTATGGGCAAGTCTGCAAACCCATGATGCAGAAGCGAGCTTGTAAAACACATGTATTTATTTTTTGGGGTCATGTATTTTTACTTGGACTTAAGCCGTACGGTTTGCATGCCCAGCACTACCTCCGAATGAGTGGGCTGTCAGATACTTTGGTCCATCGCCTCACTAGAGTTGGGCGCACATGTTTCTACTGTGATTTATCAGATAATGAATATGCAAAGCGAAGGTTCAAACAAAAAACATAAGCCAGCCCACTGGAAAGACTCGTTCATTTGAAGATAAAATGATGGTACTTTGACCCAAAAAAATAAGAAGATGAAAATGACAAAAATAAATCTAGAGGAAGACCTGGATCCTCTTGGATACTCTGGAACAAAGAACCCACGTGGTAAGAAGGCTTATCCTTACCTCGTAAGGACCAAAACGTCTTACGGTAAACTTTTCAAGGTGCTGCTTTGAAGCAATATAAAAATACTGTCATATACGATGGAAGGGCCCAGAAGAGACACTCGTATTTATGTAGTGTCATATACGGTGGAAGACCAAGATAATCACCAACAACAAATCATAGTAATGCAATGCACCTGCAAGGAATGGAGAGCTTTCACTGTGATTTGCAATTTCCAACTTTTAAAAAAAATAATATATAGTCAAGTTGACGACAACAATATCCTCAAAATACAGGGACTAAGGAAATTAACGAGTCATGCAGAAAGTGAACATAAAGTGGCCATGCATTAGGAGGACATTATTTGCGTACAAAAATTCCTAAAGGCCTACATGTCTCCCTTGAAAGATAAGGCAAATCTGGGACTAAGCGGTTGTTTTCCCAAACGTATACATCACCCACATCCAACCACCTTCAAATAATAATGATAACAATCACGAAGGACTATCCTATGGTTGTCAGGGTCCCACAAGTTCGTTTTTCTGTCAACCTCTTTCTAATCAAATTTTGTTGGACCCAAATATGATATTGGAATTAGAGTATCCACTACATCCTATCTTTAATTAAGAAAATTAGTTTGGGTATCACGCTTTCATTCATCATGTGTTGGAAAAAGCCCCCCCCTGAAGGCTTCAATTGTTAGCATCAATGGAAAAAGATGTACTAGTCTATCTGTATGTGCAGATCTTCCAATGGGTACCCTTCCAGACTTCGGTAACATCGGTATGGACTTGAATGTGACTAGAAATTTCAATATAACATCCATTGATTTGACTCTGCTTTTACCTTTCGTTATTTTCTTTCCAATGCCCAGGCAGAATGGATAGCGAAACTAAAAGGGTAAAATAATACACAAGAGAAAAACGAGGTAGAGAAGCATGTACCATGACAATCAATAATGTGAATATGATAATGTATCAGATCACCGGTACTTCTCATATCTTAATTAGTGGAGGCATATATCAAATGGTTTTGCTTGCTGTTTACTGATTTAGGCAAAGTAACATCTTTACTAAAGTGTTTTCATAATCTTTTTAATGCATTTCAGAGATTATAAAAAGTATTAAGAAAAAATGGGAAGTGATTATGTAACAAATAAACTTGTCAAACTTTCTTGCTACCCCACCCCTTGGACAAACGTTGGTTGAACACATGATTACACCTTAGAGATTATTGCTAGTATTTCTTAGATTGATTGAAGAATATGTAATACATCTTATTAAAATTCTAAACATTTAAAAAATAATTATTAAATGTTTGACTACAAAAGCAAAAGTAAAAAATAATTAATAAGAAAAAAATACTTATATTATAGAAAAGTTTGTTTATACTTTTAATTTAAGGCATTTAATTGAATTCGTTACATGTTCCTTAGCCAAATCTAGGCTTGTGCTAAGACACTTACAACAATAAATATACCATAGTAAATACTTCAAATTATTCAAAAATCTAATTGGTAAATAATGTCTGCATTTTTTATAATAAATAGTTACATGGCAAGAAATATTTATTATTTTTTTGTCAACTTTGTCATTCTCTCTACATTTTGCTTAGCATATTGTCTTGGTAATTATAAAATTAGACCATTTTCTTCTTTTTAAGAGATAAAATAATAGGAGTATTTGGTATAATGTTTGGTAGAACTAATTTTAAATTGTTGAATATAATGAATCGAAATATGTATCTAAATTAATGTAAATATGTTTTATGTTTAAGTTGGAAAATCATTTTTTTAATAAAGTATACAAATAATTTATAAAAATTAAAATAAGAAAGTACATAATATTAGAAAAATGGCAGTTTAATCTTTTATCTCATTATCAAAAAAAGTTTCTAGATTTTAAGGAAAAATATTAATTTATTTACATACGATATTCTTAAGTTATCCGTATTTCATAATACAAGAAGTAATAATAACTTTAAACTTTTACTTTTCTTAATTAATGTCTCAAGGAACTAACTATTATGTCTTTATTATGAGATGAATCTTCACGAGAATTGTTGTGACTGGAATGCCCCTGCTATCTCTGCTCTGGATCCAATGCTTAATGGAGAATGTGTTGATCGTCTTCCCTAGTAAACTAAAATAGTTTCTTATTTTCGTTACCCCCTTTCATGTGGTGTTGAAGTCAAACCTTTATGAGGGCACGTACCGAAAAAACTCTTCATGCTAATTAAATTGATTTTGTCTAAATCTTGAGATTCTAGCTGGCCCCATGCTAGGTACATCTTAATTCTTATATATTCAAGTTCATGGTGAGATTTACATCAGTTCACTTATATTGGCATATATTCCTACGATTGTGCTTTGCTTTCTTTGGGACAATGATGAGTCTTAACTTGATTTGGCATCTAATTACTCACCGATGTGGTTATGTTCTGCATGAATGCACTTTCTTGATCGAAATAATTATTTCTTTACAAATTGATATAAGTTTGTTGCAGTAGGTATTAAATTTGTTTGAATTGTTTTGTAGCTAATTAAATATTCTAAAATAAAAACAGCAAAAATCCATTTCAAAACTTTATATGATAAGGCACTCTGAGTAATTTCTCTATAATGCGTGTAGCATAGGCTTTGCTTCTTAATTGTTGCAAACGTCTGCAAATAAACCTGTCAATTGATTGATTCTGCCGTCCAAATTTAAGAACCCCTAACTTTCGTGTCTACTTTTAACAGTTGGCTAAAATTTTTCACTATATTCGTGTATTAATTAACTTATAAGAACTATAAATTTATGAATAAAAATAATCAAACAGGCTACCGACGCAGACTGACAAATTCTTACTCATGAATAAATATTCATCAGACCTATGTATTTTAATTACAGCTACATACAAACCAATTAAATGGAGATTGAATACTTGCGTGTCCATCAACGAAGTTCAAAGAAAATGCTACATATTCAGACGATAATAGCAGTATATAAATTATACATTGTCTATAACACGAAACAAAAATCTAAAATGAAAAATAGATAATCCATATATAAATAGGCAAATCAAATTAGACCCTCCTAATGTAGTTTTGGAAATTTTGTTTGCAACAATAATGAAGTTAACCTTTAGGTGGAGTAAAGTAGTTTGGCAGAGACCCATATGGTCGGTGGTGAGTGTAGGAGTATGTCATAATTGGCATTTCCTACGCTATACTTTTGAGTTATTATTAGAGGGACCCTCGCTGCCATGCCCAGACCTCTATGGAACCTTCGGTCTCAGTTCCTGCATTCTCAAATTAACACCTTCCCAACTTATTTTACTTCAATTATACATACGGGGATTTCAATTATGTGTAGCCAAATTAAGTGTGTTTAATTTAATATATATTTTCCAGGTGTTAATCACATAAAGTAGAAACATTCTGGTAAGGTTAAAATAAAAATTTAATATAACCAGCTAATACTGTAATACGTGCGCATCTAAATATTACAATTACGAACTGTACCAAACAGAGATTTTTTTATTATCCTTATTAAAAGCTTATCGTAGTAAATTAAGGAAAGAGAGTGAGAATGAAATATATAAAGAACTTAATTGTAATATTTTAAGAAGTTTTTATGCCAATTAAAATTAAAATTTTACTTCAATAACTCATACCCATTGTAACAATAACATTTATTGTGAGAGTTATCAAAAGAATTTTAATTTTAATTCAACAAATATGAAAAACTACTGATATTATACCTAAGTTTTTTCACCACAAATATAAATATTAAAATTTAGCCAACTTTCCGTATACCACAAGCCTTAACACCTATCTAAACAAGAGCAAACTCATAATGTCATTAGTTGAAAAGAAGCCATTAGTTTGGCCGTGCATTTACCTATATAATTCATACTTTATGGAAGAAACATTCTCCAAATCGGTGAATCCATTACACGCAAAGTTTGCATTTTCCCTTAGCCTTTAGAAACACACAACAAAAGCCACTCACCATTCACAAATAAGCCATTCACATTATTCCTCTCCACACACAAACCATGTCCAAGGATTGCGGCCACCACGAGGAGGAGCAACAACAGCTCCTCCGCCGTGTATTCGCCGCTATCCTCGGCTTTATCATCCTCGTCCTTCTCGTAATCTTCCTCGTATGGATCATCCTCCGACCCACCAAACCACGCTTCATCCTTGAAGACGCCACGGTCTACGCCTTCAACCTCTCCTCCACCGGAGACATACCTTCATTCACCGTTCCCACACCCAACACTCTCACTCTCACCATGCAAGTCACACTCTCCGCTCTAAACCCTAATTCCCGCATCGGCATTTACTACAGTAAACTTCATGTCTACGCCTCTTACCGTGGCCAACAAGTTTCACTCGCGACGGAGCTGCCCCCCACCTACCAGGGCCACCGTGACACCACCGTGTGGTCGCCGTTTCTGTACGGCACCGCCGTGCCGGTTTCGCCCTACGTGTTGGAGGTGCTTCAACAGGACAAGACTTCAGGGGGTGTGTTGGTCAACGTCAAGGTCAACGGAAGGGTCAAGTGGAAGGTGGGGACTTGGGTTTCTGGAAGGTACCATATCAACGTCAACTGTCCAGCGTATATCAGGCTCGCCGGCGACCGAGATTACGGCATCGGAGTTGCGGCGCCGGCGGTGAAGTTTCAGCTTTTCCAAAGCTGCATTGTTGATGTTTAGGAGTAATATTTAAGGCTAAGCAAAGTAATTTGCTTAATTTTATTGTTATTGTTCTTAATTTCTTCCTCTTAATTGGTCTCAACCACCATCTTTATAAATGTTCTGTTTTTTTTCTTTTTTTTAATATCTTTTTGGAAGTAATTATTGGATAAAGTCTCCTTCAGTTTTATATATGTGTACGTGAATTTGTACAATAAACTTAATATCATTGCATGCTTGTTTTAGTTTATTTTGAACTTATAATTAATTTTTAAAAATTTATCGCAAAAAGCAATAAGAAAGCTTTTTTAAATATGTATTTATCAAATAATGGATCTCGTTTTCTTGGGTGGATGAGCCTTTTCGTGGAAGGTGTAACTATAAATCCGAAGATGAAATATGAGGCCCTATAATAGTTGAAAATGATAGTTTTGGTTTGGTTGTTCACTGGTTCTAACGCATGTTTTTTTTACTCTCTTTAATTTTTGCAAGTGACTTGTGACAATAGATGTCTTAGAAATGTGCCCACTGTTTCTGTTGTGGATATGAATTTGCATCCCGACATCTTTTAATATAATATATTATATTCTAACAATTTTCAATTTTGTTAATATTTATATTCCGTTTTCTTCTTTCTCCTTCACATAGGGATTTGTGTTATGGAAGAATCATATTGTTATAAATTGACTCGAATTTGATGGAATTGTTGGAGTTGTCTACTTAGTTGACCAAGGTCATCTTGGGACTCTGTTTCCTTTGGTATATTGGGTCCTTATTCTAGGGAAGAATGAAGAATTGGACACTCCCATTTGATGTTAAGTACGTAAAAGTTATGGTCGAAATTGTTTGAAAGTTTATTTTGTAATTGTTATATATATGTGTACGTGTTCATCCCTGTCCCATTTTCGCTAAGGTAAATCATACGTTAATTAATTTTGATATGATTTAATTAAGTGTTACAGTGCCCGCATATATTTTGGATCATGTCCTCCGTTCGCACAACAATAGCTAACACTGCATGATTCGATTTTTTTTATTTTCTTTTGAGAGATCACAATGTATTTTAAAAAACTGATTTGGCTTATTTTGAGCTACTAATGGGATTAATTCTTGCTAACGAGAGAGTATAAGAATTATGTGATCTGCCCACAAAATTTTTATGTTTTTGTGATTCGACTTATTTATCACTTTTATATTAAAATCAAGTGTAAATAAAATTTCACATAAAATAAAATATGAGTAAATTAGAGTCCATGAAAAGATAAATCCATCTACTCATTGCTTAAAGTTTTTGGTTATATTGTAGTTTCTTATTCTTAAGGTTCTCTTACTCCCTTCTCTAACAAATAAAAACATAAATAATAATAATATGTGGCAAAAAAATAATTAACTTTTTGACGGTACATGCACCTATATTGCAATATAATGTAAATAATGAGTTATATTTTTTTAACTATAAGCAATATATAAACCGATAAATAAGTAGAAATGTTTCATAGACATCTTATGGAAATGCATTAAGAGAAAGATTAAAAAAATGTTAATACTATTTATAAAAATTAATAAATTATATAAGGAATATTGTTCTGTTGGGTGTTGGATAGGGCATTTTGTGAGGACCACATGGCAAAAGGATATTATAGAGCAAAGGTCACTTTTTAAAAGATTTTTGAAGTCATTCCTTGAGATTGACATAATTAAATGCAAATGATTTTGAGTAAGGATAAATATTCGTTGTGGTTTCTTTTACATGAAGCTTTACAAAAGGATAAAGCAGATTCTAAAAGAAGAGGTGAATGCACTTGTCCCACCAACTTCCTCTTACCCTGTGACGTGGACTCTATTTGTGATGACAACAAAATAGATACCAATTGAGTGCAGATAGGGTATATACTATCACTTTTTTATTATTTATAGTATTTTTTCAAATAAACTTGAATATAATATAATGTTTTAAAATTATATATTATCCTAATATAATATAATGTTATATTATATGTATATGATATTTTTTTCAAAATTTTACGATGTCTTTAAATATCCACTAACGAGAATGGAAACACACACAAAAAAAAAGATGTTGAGCCACGTAAACGGCCAGGCTTGTAAACAAGCTAATTAAAACCTTAAAAAAAGTTTATAACAAATAAATTAAATTTATGCTAATTAATTAAGATTTAAGACAGGCTCAAATCATTATACAAATAGACTAGACCTAACCTATTTTCATTCCTAAAGTTAATCACCATTAATAATGTGTCGTCTGTTATTCGGTCAAAATGAACAAATTCCTTTTAAGACTAACTGAGATTGAAATTTTGACACTGTCATGCCCTTCCTCTCGTTGACTAGCGTGCTTTAGGAACTAATCCTACTTCAGCTTGGTATATATCAAAAACTTTTTGTGTGAATAATTTTTACCTTATTATATAAATATTTTTATAGTAAAATCAGTTTTATTTATCTTATTTTAAATAATCCAAATAATTAAAGTTAATATCATTCCATTCAAAGATTCCACGTATTTTATCTCTTTTCATTGATTTAAAACACAATCTTGACTAACTCTCAACCATTTTCTTATTTTTTTCAGTCCTAATTAAGTAATTGTTCCATTTAAAAGTAGTAATTTTAACTGTTAAATTGATTATCTTTTTGGTTTCTTTCATCATAGAATTAAAAAATAAATAAAATTTTAAGCTATACTAGTTAAGGTGAGATATATTCACGTGTTTTGGCGATTCAATATTAAGATTTTTCGCGTAATGCTTGACATATAAATTAAACTTGATTAAAATAATGCTGCATTACATAATTATTGGAGGTGGTTTGAATTTGGACACAACTAGCAAACAAGTGGCAGCTTGATCTGAACAGGATACAGATCGGTTGGCTTGTTGCCTCATTTGCAATTGCTATTGGGAAAGCCACACTCTTCTATTTTGTTTTGGTGTAATCAGAATTTGAGAGTCTTCTTCTATTTTGCCTTCATCTATTTGTCACCAATGCTAAATCCAGAACAATAGTTGAGACACTAGAAAAAAGTGGGCCAAAGAAAACAAAACTTGGACACTAGATATGGTTACAAATTAAAGCCGTGAAAAATTGTTGTTCGACCTTTTCTTCCTTATTAAATGATACAATTCTTGGAAAAGACCTATCCAGTACACCAAAAAGATAAGTAGATAACAAATCTCGATTTAAGAAGATACTCCATAATTTTGTGGTTGATGATAAAATATGAGCACATTTTCCAAAACTATTGTCTGAATAATTCTAAACATGAAAAGTACAACTTCTAAAGAAAATTATTTACCTATGTTTTGGGTCTCACATTTTTATTTTATTCTTTTGGAATGTAGTGTGGCTTTAATGGGCCTGATCTCAATGACACTGTTCTAACTAGTTCTTCTTCGTTCTTGGTTTGACCCATCATTATTTTGACAAAAAAAACAAAGACCCTTTATTCTCACTCTAGTTTTATACAATATCCAAGTTCTTGGCCCAGGAAGATGTTGACTTGATGTCTCTTTGCCATTGTCGTTCGTAACGAGCAATTAGCAATCAAACTCTTTACTTAGGTAAGAATCAGAATAGAGTCCCTCATAAAAAGAAAATGTAATTTTCCGGTTAATTCCTCCCTTCATGATTTACTTTCTTGGTAATTTTTTAAGTGATTTCCTTTATGTAATCAATTTGAAACAGAAAAGGCTAACAAGTTCTTCTATAAAATACTCTAGTATGGAACTACAATACATATAACAGGCACTGAGTTCATGGACAAACTCTCAAAGCAATAGCATGGTAGAGAGAAACTCTGGTGTATTACACACAGCTATAAGCATAAAAGATACTTCTACATCATTTCTTAGTTAAACCATATGTTGATCCTGTTCTTGCGAAATGGTATGATGATATATTCCCTATTGCTAAAAATGCTTGATTTGGATTAATTTTATTCTAGTTGAATATTATGGTGCATTATTATTAACGTCTTCTGCTCTTCTTGAAGCATGCTGGAAATTTATACATATCTTAATGTTGTTAATCTGTATTTAATCTTTGTGTCTTTATATTTAATGTCTAAAATAATGATACCAATTTAGTATTGATTTAACCTGCATAGATTAAATTTGCACAACAATTTTTTTCAGGATTGTGTCATATATATATGTACGAAAACAGGGAAGTACTTCCTTTAACATAATCTCAAACCAGTCACCTTTTACATTGATTGGGATAAAATTCAGAGTGATAGAAGTTATTTTGATAGTTTCATATTGCTGAAAAGTCTAGTTTTTATTGAAGCTTTTGCTTTTGGAATGGAAGATATGGCTCGTAATGTTTGCAACGACAACAAACGCTTGAGCCATACATTTCAATATTAACAGTATCAATTATGGCAAGCGACTACGAGTCTGCGGCAGGATTTCTATGTTACTCCCTTCTAAGTTCTAAGCCCTCCTAGTTCCTACCTTTTGCTGAGCAGTGAGCACAATGTCTCCTTAAAACCACTTTTTATCTTAGCATTCTTCATATGGCATTTTGTAGGTCCGAATTCTCACTAGCCCCCCTTTGTTCTACTCCAAATTTTCTGATAAATGGAATTTTCATTCTTGATTTTTCTTAATTTAAAATTACCAAAATTCCTTGCAATATTTATTGAGAGTTCCAATTACACAAAATATATAACCAATTTTAATACTTATATGTATAATTTTATTTATTTTATGAACGGGGAAAAATAAAATATTAATTTTCAAATAATTGAATATATAAATGATAAATAACGTTATTCAGGCCAGTTTTGCGGTGTAACAAAATAAGGTATTATATAAATCATTTGACATTTAACAAAAGAATAGTTTTACCTCTCTTATCGTTATCAGATGCAGTTTGATTTTGATCTTTTTTTTGTTTTTTTGTTTCTTTTAAAGATGTAGTTTGATCGTATGAAACGGTGTGTAAATCAATCATCAGGTTGTTTACTTCTGGAAGTCGATGAGTTATGGCTCATGCATTGTCTAACTTCAAATAGCTTACTTCGGAAGAAACTGGTGATTCTTTCCTTGGACTATTAATTTGAATATCTTTGTGCGCAAATGTAAAGACAAAATCTTCTTTAGAAGGGGGAAAAAAAGCGAAAAAATTTGATTGGATATGCAGTAGATGGATGGCTGAAAACGCAACTCATATAAGATTCTAAGAATTAAAGTTATAATAATGAGATTATCTATTTTGCGCCTTCCAAGTCAACCTATCAAGTCTTAACACTAGATTTATTTATTTTTCTTAATTTGAGGTGAAGTTTGTTGCTTATTAAAAACGTAATTAACATATTATCATACGTTAACAAGGTTTGTTCTGCCGTTATCATTGAAAGGCACCAACTAGGGAAGTAATTAATAAATCAAACGTGAAATATTTTTCCCCAAAAAATATTGTTAATTGATAATAAAAGCTAAAGAATCTTATCATGAGGGTCTCTTCCGAAAGATCGTTCACATGATTAGTCCTTCACACTCCCATCCCAAGTCAAAAAATAATGCCACATAAACCCAAAATCCTTTTCTCTCACCAAACCCTTCCCAAAAAAACTCCTATCCACAACCCCACATTTCTTTTCCATTCACATTTTCGCTTTCTCTGCCTGTTTCCATCTACTCAACACAAAAGTGATTAGAAATTGAAAAGAACCTTTATCAACAACACCATCCATACCTTCCAAAACACACCCTAGAAGCAAGATCATATCCTCTTCTCTCTTCGTGATCATAGATTATTATATACTATATTAATGTTTTCCAACAAGAGAAGGCTCATGAAAACCCTATTCAATAGAAACGGAGGCTGCGGGTGTAGCACACCAAAGTCCTCCGATGTACACGATCCCACCCCAAAACCTAAAATTTCCATTTACCAAAACACAAACCCTAGTAGCCTCAATTCATCGACCACTTCCGGCTTCGACGACGAAGACTTCACTTCCACCACCGTCTCCGAACCCGACACACTTCACGACCACAAAAACAAAAACAATGAAACGGCAAAACCGAACCCAAAACTCATTGACAGCATCGCCGTTGAGAAGGACTCAAAGGACCCATATAACGATTTCCGAGATTCCATGCTCCAAATGATCTTTGAGAGAGAGATCTACTCAGAACCCGATCTTCAAGAGCTTCTCGAATGTTTTCTTGAACTGAATGCCACGTGTCACCACCAAGTCATAGTCCAAGCCTTCATAGAGATCTGCGAAGAAGCGTTCCCTAAGAAGAATATTAGTGATGATGGTGGTGTTTCTGAACCGTGTCGCAGGAACCAGATGATGAACATTCGAAAGAGTCGGTGAATGGTGATGCTAGCTCAGCGCTGATCATGCATGTGTAAGCCACGTGAAGGCATTGAATTCACACGTGGCAAGAAGCTGCATGGAAACGTCACGGTTTCAAGTTGATCTCATTTTATCATTCTCTCCCATTTATTCGTCTATCTATCTGTTATGTAGGTGGGGTTGGAAGGAGTTGGAGAACGGTTCAAAATTTATTGAACTTTTGAAGGGTTTGAGATTTGAATTTTTGCTGTAAAACAGAGGGAGGGAAAGTCAAGTATAATATCCCTCGAATGAAGGAGATAAATATATATCTGTTATCTTCAGAATTTAATTTTAATTTTTAGTGTAAAGCTTTTATTCAATTGTGTAATGCCACTTCATTCAATGATGCAACAATATACATTTAGTATGCAACGATATAATTATTTTTTGTAATGTATAAATTTATTTCTTATCTTTATTTGTTTCTATTTCTTTTAGTGTTAAATTTTACACTGTGAAATTCTTTACACAGTCATTTACATTTATGTTTTGTGCATATTAACCCATTCTGTTAATCAGTGGGTTTACATTTCCACTTCAAACCTGTCATTTGTTTATGTTTAATTTAAAGGATAAACTACGCCTAGCCAGTGAGACTTTTTCTTCTTATTGCTACTAGATTTGCTTGACGAGAAACTCTTCTATGCCTAGTTATCGATTAATTGTTATATAAGCGACATGCTGGAGAGCTAGGGATATCTTGACTCTTGAGTTTAAGTTGCAGCTACATTATCTTTTTTTTTGAAAATTTATATAAAGTACTGAAGCAATATCTTACCCTTTCGTATTTGAGAATATAGGGACCGCATTTATTCAACGTATGACTTTTGTTATTTTTGGTGAAGTATAATTTACTAGATCGATATTTGGAATAGATATATTAAAGTACATGTATTAAATAGTTTTAAATAATTTTGAAAATATATTTTATAAATGTTGTTTTAAGTGATTTTATGTATTTATAAATTATTAAATCAATTAATAAAAAAATTATACTTTATTTTTCAAAAATAATAATTCTAAAAATTAAGCTTAAAGAAAAAAAAAAGGATTAGTACAGTTTTTTTTGTTGTCAAAAGATAATACAGTTAAAAAAATATAGCAGTACTTTCAAACTGGGCCTCCCTATGATAAATCCTGTCGCCAGCAATTACTCAGCCCCTTGACCCAAAAAGATATTACTCAACACGCATGAAAAAAAAAAGCCGCACAGTTTCAGACGCATGAAAGAAAAAAGAAAAAAAAATATATACTGACTAAATTACACTTAACCCATATATCAGCCTTTAAATAATGTTCTTTAATATTATATCAGTTTAAATTTTAAAATATAATTTTTCGATTTACTTTAATGACAGTTTATTCTGTGAAAGTATATATAAACTTTATTTTTTAAATAAGGTGTCATATATCATACTTTGTTCTCTTTCTAAATATTTAATATAGATATAATTGTTAGAGTTTAAAATAAATTTTGTGAGTTATTTAAGTAATTAATGATTTGTTTTCTCATATTTTAACATTTTATATTGTTTTTTAAAATTTTATTTCACCTAATTGTAATTTTTTATTGACTATGCGTAATGCTGTTGTATTAGACGTGTCCATGCTTACAAAAATTACTCTTATCACCGTCCCACTGTTATCAATGGACATAAATAAGGAGCACCTACGTAAATTCTTTAGATTATTTAAATATCATTTTTTTTCCACTTTTTCTTATTTGACCAATCTAAACATAGATAAACTTTATATATATATATATATATATATATATATATATAAATAATGAGAGAGAATATTTATATATTTAATTGTTTTGATATTAAGAAGATATTTTGTACTTTTTAATAATATATTAATAAAAATATATATTTCAAAATAATTAGTATATATTTTTAATTTAAATTAAATGAGGAGAAAATAAAGTTAAAGCACCTAAGTCTATATGACCAGAAAATAGTATATTTTAACAAATTGTCATTGCTGCTATTTTTCACATAAACACCATACTTTATTCAAGCTTTTTAAAACCAAACAGTAATAAATAAAAATAAATTCTCTTATTTTAGGCTCTAGGAGTCTGTATCAATCCATATAGTGTCTTCTTTAGCTTATATATTTTTTCCTTTTTGTCTCTAAGAATAAAATCAAGTGGTTGTTTTACATACACTTCTTCAAAACTCCATTGAAAAAAGCATATTGAACATCTAGTTGGAAGGACTTTCATCTTCTTGAAACAACAATTGCAATTACTAGCCCTATTGTTTCCAATCTAGCTATTGATGCAAACACATCATGATAATCAACACCTACTTTATGAAGAACTCCTTTTGCTACTAACCTGACCTTGTATCTTGAGATTGATCCATTAGGAAGCAGTTTCACTTTGAACACCCATTTTACTGCAATGGATTGCTTCTTTGGAAGTAAATCTACCAATTCCCAAGTTTGATTTTTCTTTATGGCTTGTAACTCTTCTTTCATAACCTTTCTCCACACTTCACTTTTCATTGCTTCAATGAAATCTATTGGTTCAACTTCTGCAGAAAGTGCCGAGTGAACCAAATCTCCTTCCTCATTTATTGCATTATCAGAGAACCTCACATAATCACCAAGTTTGACATTTTCAGTCCTAGTTCTCTAAGACCTCCTATTAGGCACTGTAGGAGTTATTTCTTCAGCTTCAAGTTCATTGTACAACTCATACTCTAATTCATCAATTAGAGGCAAATCATCTAAAATTCTAACACTTTCTTCAGCAACTTGTTAGGACTTTTCTTTCAAACATGGCAAGTGTACTGGATCTATTGCAAGTAATAACCGATAGAGTATTAGAGTATCATATTTAGAGAGCAATTCAAACGTATTAATTAATAAGATACAAAATAATTGAACTTATATACAATAGAATTGATTGACGATTTTCATGAAATTTAAGTAACAATTATAATGTAAAATGATAAGGTAAAATATAGTAAAATTTAGATTTAAGAAACTGGGATTAAATTTCATTTATCTCTCTCTGTATTCTAAGTAATTCAGTGATAAATATAGCAATCATTTTCAATGAATTTGATGCAAAATACAAAAATCATATATTTTAATTCTTTGAAAATATATTTCTAAGATAATTTCTTAAATGTTGATTTTTCAAATAGTTAACAAACTATCCAGCATTAAAATCTGGATTTAAAAACAATCAATAACTTGAAATCTATTCCTAGAGTAACCAGTTATTGAGTAATATCAATCAGATCTGGATCTAAATAATACTTTTTCAAATATAACTCAGATCTGAACTCCATAAACCATCAAATAGACAGATTCAACCATTAAAATGAATTGAAATTACCAAATTAATTGAAATAAAAAAGAAACAAATATATTTATATAAATTTTTGAGAATAGATCAAGTTTGAAGATTTATATTCAATCACATACAATGTTTAGTTGCTCATTGCAACCATAACACCAAGAATTGAGACACAAACGAAGTAGAACATCAAAAATTGAGTATTCCTACTCTTTTCCTATGCCCTACGCCGCTCTCTCTTTCTGAAATGAAAATGAAACAATAACATCTTCAAAAACATAAAAGTCACCTTTTATACTGGTCTGTACGAACTTATCTCTCTACAGTGACACCTCCTCATTGTAGCGAGACATGAAGATGAAAATTAGGTCATTTTATTTGTCTTTCGCTCAGCGATAGTTATCGCTACAACGACACAAGGAACTCTCGCTACAGCAACAATATCTCGCTGTAGTAAAAGGAGCACAGAATCACCCTCTTAGGAACTTAATACACTTGTCACTTTCTTTCTCTACCTACTTCTTCCATTTTTGAAACACTATGAAAGCAACACTCTTTCTACCAATGACAAATACTTAAATTTTTCTTGTAAACTCGTCAACAAAAGATATGAGGTACTGCAGCCACCTAGTGTAGGTACCTCAATTGGTCCACAAATATCTAAGTAGATAATCTCCAGTGGACAAACTGGTTTATATAATGCAGTAGAATTAAAGGTTTCCTTGGTTGTTTACTTATCACACTCTTTATACAGTGCTGTAGGGATCTAAATTTTAGACAATCCAATTACCATCTTCTTTCAACTAAGTAACTTTAAACTTTTAAAGTTCAAATGATCATATCTCTGGTGCGACAACCACCTCACATCATCCACTAAAGCTGTTAAACAATTAGAGGCAATTGATAGGCTTGTCTTGAAAGCCCTATTCTTTGTAAGTGGAGCCTTCAAGACAAGTCTATGTTGTTGATCATATAAATTCAATCCAACATCATTAACTTTGAATGAAAACTCCTTTTCAACTAGCTGTTTGACACTTGAATTATTGTAGTGTTACCTCTCTTCTCTTGGATCAGCACCTTTCCAAGCCCTTTAGCCATGACAAAACTATTATCAACAAATTTGACCTTACTCTTGATACTTGAATCAAGATCAATAAGCCACTCTTTGTGTCCAGTCATATGATTGGAACACCCTATGTCAATGTATCAAGAGTCATCCTCAGATTCTGATCCTGTAGTAGCCATAAGCACAACATTCTTAGAATCTGAACTTTCTTCCTCTTCTGTTACATGTGCCTCATCATTTTCTCTCTTGCCTTTGCTTGACCGGCACTCACAAGCAAAGTGTCCACGTTTACCACAATTATAACACTCAATTTTGAACTTATCAAATTTTTTCTTCCTTTTGCCTTTCAATTATTTTTCCTCCACCCTTCTTATTTGAAGTTTTAGTTTCATCACCATCAGAATTATCATTATTAGAGGTATTTTCCTTGCCACCATCCTTGTGATACTGCACTTTCTCTTTGCCCTTCCATTTTTCTTGCCAATATCTCTCTTGAAACCAACCTTAGCTTGTAAGGTATGGTGAGTCTCTTGTTATTGGTCTCTTTCAACCAAACGTTTTTCATGTGCTTCAAGAGTTCCTTGCAACTCCTTTACCTGCATTATTGAGATCTTTCCATTAACTAATTTGAAATGGTACCACCACACACTTTCATTTGATTCATAAGAATTTGCATTCTTTTAAAGTAATCTATGATTTTTCTCATTGTTTTTCATCTGGAGCAACTCAAATTTTTGTGTCAATGTCTGCAATTTCACTTTTTTTAGCTTGTCATCACTGAAATAAGATTTAGCCAAGGCATCTCACGTAACTTTTGAAATTTCAGTGGAAACAATCTTCTCAAAGTGAGAACCATCAACATATTGATGGAAAAAGAATAGAGTCTTACACTCTTTTTTTTTTTTTCGATTCTCCTTGAAAGCTTGTCTCTAATCTTACATCACTTTCTCCACCATTAACTAATTTGAAATGGTACCACCACACACTTTCATTTGATTCACAAGAATTTACATTCTTGTAGAGTAATCTATGATTTTTTTTTATTGTTTTCCATCTGGAGCAACTCAAATTTTTGTGTCAATGTCTGCAATTTCACTTTCTTTAACTTGTCATCACCGAAATAAGCTTTAGCCAAGGCATCTCACGTAGTTTTTGAAATTTCAGCAGAAACAATCTTCTCAAAGTGAGAACCATCAACATATTGATGGAAAAAAAATAGAGTCTTAAGCTCATTTTTTTTTATTCTCCTTGAAAGTTTGTCTCTAAGCTTTAGTAGCAGTTTTAACAAGTGATTCATAATCATTCTTGACAATATTAAGATCATCCTCAAAATCAAAAAGTGCATTCATCTAAACACTTAATTTGTCCCGATTCTTGCCATCAAGAATTGGCAAATTAATTTTTATAAATGTGACTGTTGAGACCCGTCATGATAATCGCTATAAAACTCAAACTACATATTTGAAATGCTTTCCAATCTTGGCCCGAAGGTCTTCAAGCTCTTTATACCAATTTGTTAAGGATGCAATGTTGCAAAATAAGGAGAAGGAAGCAAGAAAAAGCAACGAGAGAGAAATTGTATATTATTACTTGTACGTAAAAAAACGTACATGCCTTATATAGGCTAATTTTCTCAACAAATATCTAAATTAACCACACTAACTCAGCAGTAAAAGGTTTCATTAACGACTATTCAACTTGATTTAGCGGCTTTATAATCTCTGTATAATTAATGCCGGAGCATGAATTTTTTAATTTGTCAAATCTCCCACCAATCTTCCTATCATGGTAATGAAAAAGCAGCCATTATCCAATTTTCTTGTTATGGCTATTACAGGGTTCAAATCCTTTCTATCATCGTCGTACTATAAAAATGGATAATCCAGACAAAATTCTCCCACTTTCTTACATGAAGTGAGTTGTAGTTTTCTTCTCCTTTGTTCTATTGGGTCTGTTTGTGTTGTTATGGAAATTATTTCTTTTTCTGAAGAAATAATTATGAAAATGGGGCAACCGTTTACTGATTTTTCTATATTTTTCGTGTTATATTTGGCAAAAAAGGGTAAAAAAATAAAGAAGATAGATTAAGAAGAGGAAAAGCAACCTGCAGGTGCAGGGAGGGCCAGTGGCACTGGGCCACAATTTCTGCCCGCAAGTTGTAACGTTGAATAGTGCAGATTTCATGACAAAAAACTAACTTTAATTGTCGGCAGTTATACCATGGTGATGGACCACGTCTTCGCTGTAACTTTTTATTTTGTACCATTTATTTTGCAAAACTGCTACATGGGCAAACGTAACTGCACACGACAGATCAGAATACTCAGCAGTCAAACTTTAGCTGCAATTATTTTATCAAATTTAAAAGTTTAGAAAAGGTTAAAACGTTCAAACATTAATTACATCCCTCGGAGTTCAAAGCTTATTATTACCTACTCTCATTCCTTTTATAAGATAAGTAATCAAAGTTCGTTATTTTTTAAATAATACTGTGGTATAATAATTTTACCTTTATTGAATACTATTAAATTTAATCGTATTATAAAATTTAATCTTTAAAAAGATAAATGTGGACTTTTACAAACTTTGTTTATTAAGAGCATGTGAAAAAATATAATGATTATAAGGTATTTCATAAAAAAATCGTTAAAACCTTCTATTTAATTATTATATTTTTATTATTTTTAAAAACATATGTTGATTTTAAAACTAAGAAAATTAAGAACTCGTTTATTTTAAATTTTTAGAACAAAAAAACTATTGAAAATTTATTATTCAATTATTTTAAGAAATTTCAAAACAAGATAGTTATATTTAAATTAAAAAGAAAAAATCTTTTTAATATATTTTAAATTCTTTTTTTATTTTCTAATTTCTAAAACTACTTTTGAAACAGTATTATCAAACATAATATTTTTCTCATTAGAAAAATATCTTTTAAAGATTATTTTACAAAACAATTAAAACATAAGCAACAATTTTATGGACATTTCCAAAAACAATAAAATTCTTACTTGATATGGTTTGGTTTTGTTATTAATTTAAAAGAGTTTATAAACTTGTTGCTCAAAAACTTAAACATGTTCTTTAAAAATTACTTAATATTTGCTGTAACAAAAGTGAGTAAATAAATTATGATAATTTTGAGGATTATTTTATGCTCTAGTGACTTTTATTTTATTTTATTTTATTTTTCCCCTATCTCTTTTTTTATTTTTATTTTAATTTCTCTCATTGACGTGTTTCAACAAAAAAATCAATGTAAAATAAAAATTAATATGATATTTTTAAATATATCTAGTAATACGTACATACAATATTTCCTTCAAATTTTCATTTAAATATTTTAAACAAAATTTGATATAATATACAAGAAATAAACGTAAAATTCTATGATAAAATTTTTAAAACAAGATATTAATTATTTATAACAATTTTTTATCATGTGATTAAATTAAAATATATTTATAAAAAAAGACTCGAGGAAGTAAATATTTATTTAAAATTATATAATTTTTCATATTAAATTAAAAGTCATTTATTAAATTTTTATTGCATGTATCTAAACACTGATTAAACAAACCAATTTTTAAAAGCTAATTTGAAAATAATATTTATTTATTGTTAAAAATAGATTTTGAAAGCTATACCTTTAATTCGAAAAGAGTGAAATAAAGGGCAGCGATGAAATTAGAATGAAAAATGGGGGATGAAAAGGTGATTTGGCAGATTGCTCCTAATCTCCGAATCCTCGGTTACGTTAAGAAGAAACAACGGAGGGGGTTTCTTCATCGTCGCATAGAAAAGACAAATTGGAGGAGTAAGGGACTTTCCTTATCACGGGAGAAAGAGAAAAAAAAGGAAGTAATCAATGAATTTTTTATTTATGTATAATCTGTTTTTATCTCATTTTCAGATTTTTAACTGACAGAACAAGTGAGCTCTAATCCGAACAACACACCCGCATGTTTCTGGGGCCCATCCTTCACGAAATAAATGTCTATCAATTTCTGAAACGCATGCCACGTCAACAAGCTGTCAGACCCAGCTTGGTGGCATTTCCCAACCGCCCGGTTCACGTTCAGGCTCTGAGCAAGCCGGTCCAAACCGCCGTACAGGGTGTCGCAGAACCGCATCATGTGTTTGATGTCATAAACATTGTTTCCGAAAAACGCCCTCAACATCCTCAGAAATTCCTCCAACCCGTTCGGCAGGCTCCGTCGGGTCAGGATCTTAACCAAATACCCGAAATCGTAGGCGCTGTGAAACGTCACCCAACTCACCGACTCGTTGCAGACAAGCCCCGACGACATCATCAGCTCCGCGAACCGCGCCGAGTCCACTCCCTCGGCGGCGTTGCGGCGGAAATCGATCCCCTGGCGCCGGAGGAGAGTGATTGAGTCCGGCGCGTGAGCGTCACGCTCGACGTCGAAGTCGCTGAAGTTGAATTCCCAGATGAAACGGTTGCCGGTTCCGAGGTTGGGTAGGTTCCCGTTGAAATCGGAGAGGGTGAGACCGACTTGGATAAGGTTGAGGGTATCCACGTTGGACTTGAGGAAACGGTAGTGGTCGGAGGGTTGGAGGTGGCGGCGGAGGTAGGGTTTAGTGGGGTCCACGTGGGGGCGGAAAATAACGCCTGGGAATTCGGTGTCCATGGAAATGAAAGGGTAGTTGTCGATCAATTCGCGAATAACCTCGAATTCGGATTCTAGATTGGAGGCCCACACCTCGCGGATCAAGATGGGTTTTGAATTGGGGTCTTCGTCCAGCACACCCATTTCAGAAAAGTGAATCTGTTTTGGCTTTGAGATGAGGACGATGAGGAGGAGGAGAATAAAGAAGATGAAGGAAGCGAAGGGTTGTTTTGTTGGTGGTGGAATCATGAAGGGTTTTATTTATTTGAAAGGAAAGTTGGGAGGCGAAGATGTTGCTTCGAAAGTGGGTTACGTGAGGGTGAGGGTGAGGGTGATGGGTAAGGGGGAAGAGTGTGTATGTGCTTGAAGCGGTGGGTGGGGCAAGTTCAGTGTAAGTGGGGAATGAGAATCATATTATTGTGAAGGGTGCATAACTGGTGTCTATGTTCAACGCGTCCACTAACTTTGACTCTCCCAAGTAACATCACTGCCACTCGATATGTTTTCTCAGTCAATTATTCATTTCCAACACTCTTTCATCATTTTCATTTTTAACACCCTAAATTATTATTTATTCTTTTTTTAAATCAATTCCAACATTACATTCTTATTCAAATGTTATTCGTAAAACGCTTGTTAAATATCCTAATTAACGGCTACTCATATTTTCTTTACAGGCTGGGCACGGATAAATTAATACAGGGCTTTATTGACAACTTCCAATGCAATATTTTTTAAATATTTTACAGTAATTGTCGCTTTCTTTTTTTCTTTTTTTTTCGTTACGTTTTTTTTTTACTTTCAATTAAGATATAAATGGTTAGGTTAATAAGTCACATGACTTATAATTTTTCTTTTACTTTTGTATGTTCTTTGTAATTAATTGAATACATAAATAATAAAAATTATCTACACTGAATGATATTTTTATTTATTGTTGAATTTTTTGTCAGTCAAAATAAAATAATACCTGCATAATTTCGTAAGTGTGTATAATATATACGGGAGCATTGCAACTGGGATCATCTTCCGATTTAAAAAATGTATCGTAATTCGATTTATGATCTGATTCAAAATAATTTAAATTAAATAAGATCATACGATTTTTAATTTAATATAAAATAATAAAAAATATATTTTCTCTTTTACACTATTTTTAATTAAATATTTTTATATAAAATTTATATATTAAAATATAAGATGTATAAGAATAATTTTAAATTAATATAAAATAAACATATTTACAAGTATATTAAATTAATAAAATATGTGCTAAAAAATAACTATAAGATGCAACTTTGAAATTTAAATCATAAAAATTAATTATTATAAATTTATAATTATATAAATATGAGTGAGATGTTAATTTTATAAATAAAATTTATATATACACATATAATTTATTTACATTAAATTAGTTCATTTTTCAAAAAACAGAATCCGAAATTTGATCTAATTCAATAAAAGTTATTAGTTGAATGTTTTCAAATATTTTTTTAATTAATTTAATTTTGAAATTTACATTGCATGAAACTAGGTCATTCATAAACATCCCTAATTATCAAATTTTAAATATCACATTAATTTATTTCTCATGCTGCCAAAAATAAATAAATATTACCCGACTGTCTTTCCTTGTCCTATATATATAAAAGCTTTAATAAATTTTTACTCTCTACTTTTTTTTAGTCTTTATCTGTATTTTTTTTTAAGTTTCTATCTACTTTTCTATACTTTTTTATTTTATTTTAATCACTTAATATTTTATAAAATATATCAATATACAAAGATTAAAAGTAAAATTAGAAATTAAAAATAATAAACAGAAACTAAAAATAAGAAAATAAAAAAATTATTCCCGACCAAAAATAATACAACACTGCTTATATATGTATATTGTGACGTGCATAAAAGACGGCGGCAAGTCGTTGATTATTCGTTTTCCACATTTCCAAATTTAGATTCCAACATGTAATGTCACGCACTATGCTTGTAATATGAATATTTAGTGAACCCCACTTCACTCCATAAGCAAATTCAACATTCTTTTCATTTTAGAGGCATCAACTCATTAAAACGTGAAAGAAACCAAATATATATATATATATATAAAAAGACAAATTTAAACTGAGGTATTTAAAGTATATAGCTTTTATTTAAAAAATTGCAAACAAATTAAAAATGTTTATTTTTAAATTATTGAGAATATTAAATAATTTAAGATGTTCATTAACAATATTTTTTAAAAATAAAAAAATTAATAAAAATAGATATTATAATTATTAATTAACCATGATAGTTTAAGAGTAATGCTTGCCTTCCAATAATAATAAAATCCTCATAACGATCAACGTAATACATTTTAAGGAAAGTGTTAAACGAAAGAGTAAAATCAAATGTAGTAAAAATTATTTTTAATTAAAAACAATACCAACAGCATAAAAATATTAAATATTTTTATTCAATATATCAAGATTTGACTATGTTTTTAGTCTATATAGTTAATTAAGCCTTTAATTGATAAAAGGAGTTATTAATATCACTATTCAAATATCAATAAAGATTATGTCAATAAAAAAACTTTTCAATAATAAACAAAATTTTGAAGATTATAATAAATGATGAATTTTTGGTTATTTTTTTCTTATTTTATTATTTTACAATTACTTAATGTAAATACAAAACTAATTAATGCCAAAATAATTCATGTATATCGAGTGTTTTAAAATTAATTGCCATCGTTGAATTAAAAAAAAAAGTTGTTTTGTTAACTTTTGACTATCTAATGTTAAAAAAACTGCATTAAAATACATTCTTTATTTTAAAATTATAAAAATATAATAAATATTTGTTAATTAAAATTTATTATTATTAATTGCTTGAACTTAATTCATAAAAAAATCGCTGTAATATATTGAAATTGCACTATAGTGAGTCCAGTCTCAAACAGAAATAAATCGAAGGTGAAGTATAGTGGTTGAGGGAATTAAAATCTGTGATTAATTAAATTTGAGGTAGTAGGAGTTACCTAGCCTTTTCTGTATGGTCCATGTACAGAAAGGGTGAATAATGTTGTCATAAAAACAAGTGGGCGACGTCTGTCAATGTACTGTTAATATCAAAATAATAATCAAGATAGATAAAATATATATTTTATTTATTTATTCCTATTTAATTTGATTCTGATTTAATTTGAGTTATATACTTAAATATAGTGAATAAATTTATTATTAAATTTTTTATATATATACAAAAATTTAAATTTAAATTTTTTTTTAAATGATATCAAATAATTTATCACTTAAATCAATTTTCGTTGATATAAAATATATTTAAAATTATTAAATAATTTTAATTAATATAAGAGTGAACTACCCATTAACTTATTTTTTGTAATTTTAAATGTACTTTTAACTATTGCCTAAGAAATATATTTATTATATTAAAGATAGTTATTACTTTTTTTTATGTAAATAAATTAAAATAATTTATTTAGGGACAGGTGCATTGATTAAGAAAATAAAATATTATTAAAAAAATACTATTAAAAAAATATTTATATTTATTTTTTAAGTAAAAATCTTGTGAACAGCAGGTTGATGGGAGCAAATGCACTCTCTTACTTTTATCTATTTTTTCTTTTACTTTTATAATTTAAATTTTTTAAAATAAAAAATTTGCGCTCCTTAATTTTTTTGAAAAAAAATAAAAATAAAAAATATATATATATATATATATAAGAAGTAAAATAAATAGAAAAAAAAAAAAAAAAAAACACTGGCAAAAGTTTACCGTTTCGCTTACGTTACCGTCAAACTTACTCCACGATGGGGTCCAGCTAAATTTACTCAAAACATTAGTTTATCGTCGAAAGTCGAAAAGACATATTTTGTTCAACGACGTCGTCTAAACTGGTTCCCTCTGAATGTTAGTGTCTCCCCCCACCCCCCAATTTAGTTATAAACATCTTTTTTATTTTTCCTTTTACCTCACTAATGATAGAAATTTCAAATGAACCAAGCCATTCATTAGTAGTTTATATATGGTGTGATTATTTAAGGTTATATTTAGCAAAAGAATTAACCAAGACTAAATTAAGCTAATAAACGTGTTATGTTTTCATCCTTGTAAAACCTTCTTCAAATTTGACTTGCTTTTCTGCGATTTTTATGTACAAAATGATGCAAATGTGTTATTAATTTTAATATTTAATTAAATGTATACACTGTTCAGGAAACTAATAAATACGAGTTTTTCATTAAATCTTATAAGATGCTATAAATCACTAATGAACATCACGCTAGAGGCAAAAATTACAAACTATAGATATCTAATAAGTATATGTATTAAATTCTTTTTTTATTTAAACTTAAAATTTGTTAACACACAGAATATTAATTTGTTAATCTATCTAAAAGTTTAAAACATTAAAGTGTTGAGACATGAAAAGAAATTTAAATATCTAAATATCACGTTTAATTTAAAACTTCAAACTACCTTATCATCTATATATTATTTAACTTTGATATAAGGATTCTCTCTGATAAATATACCACCAATTTATTTTAATATTTGTTTCAATTAGTCTGATTAAACAAATTATTATTTTTGACATTACTGTTTAAATATACGAGACATACAAATGAACTTAAAAATAATCGCTTAAACAAACTTATATACTACGTCTAATTACAACTTTAAAGTTATTAAATTATTAATTTTTGTCATTAATATATTATTTATTTAATGTGACACTTTTTTATTGGCACTTATTACCTTAAAGTAAAGTTTTATGTACTATTAACATATATGTTTAGAGATAATCTTTTCATATTAAACGAGCACAAGATTGTGGCATAAACTCAAACATAAAATATAAGTACAAAGTAAAAATTAAATGCAGCTAATAACTGTGTAAACGGAATTGAATTTGAATAAACATTTAAGACAATAAAGTATTAATCATCAAATATTTCTAAATAAATATATTACTTAATTAAATATATCTTTATCGAAAACAATTATATTTGAGTTGGACAACATCACTTTAAGTAATAAAATTAATTTTTTAATATTAAACACATCACTTAAATTTAATTTCACATTTTCATACACTTTTGAAGACACTGATTCAAATTTCAATATTCATCAAATCTTTAATTATCGCTATGCCAAGAAAAACCTTCAACAATGCTCTAAGTTGCCAAGAAGATAACTGAAAGGGGAAAGAGAAAGAGAAGAAGTGGTAAGGATATTTTTGGCTTTCAAATCACCCACGTGAGGTTTCCGTGTGGCGCGACACGCGGCTCCACGGTCCCCGACACTGCCTTGATGTGTCATAATGGGCTGAATGCTTTACGTACAAAATCAAAATAGGCTCTCTA